CGCAGGATGACGGATTTACACCCCAGGTTGTGGAACTAGATGCCACGACAGTGGGCAGCATTGTGCAAGATGGTAAGAAGCATCATGCTCAGATCTTTGGATTGTGGCGCAGACCACAAGATGAGTGTGACCTAATCTTCAACGTCTGCCCGTTGCCGCTGGGCACTACGACCTTGAAAGCAACACCGACGGTTGAGGACCTCGGCCGCGTACTTCGGTGTGGGGGTTTGGAATGCATTGACAAGAGAAGATGCGAGGCGATCGTCACAGACGGTGCCGAACTATATCCCAGGATTGGGGATTCCTTGGGTTTGCCGCACTTCCATGTCAATCATTCCAGGTGTATCTGGAGGAAGCAGTTTCTGAGACGTTTCCGCTAAAGCGTCGGCACCTCAAGCCAACCCTCAGCTGTGTGAGTATCTGTTCCAGTTCTCTTGCCGAAACCCTAAACCCTAAACCCTAAACCCTAAACTCTAAACCCTAAACCCTAAACCCTAAACCCTAAACCCTAAACCCTAAACCCTAAACCCTAAACCCTAAACCCTAAACCCCATCACTCAGGCAGCCCGGAGGCGCTGAGAATGAAGCTCGGGCACTTCTTGCAGAGCCGCTGAAAGCGCCCTAAAACGACGGCGACCTAAGTTGTGACTACCCAAACACCGCTTCACTCCCACAGAAACCGCGGGTCAGCTACGGACGCGCCAGGCCCTAAACCCCTCAAACCTAAATCCTCAAGGGCGCGCCGCCGTGCGCGCGCGCACAGCGCGCCTCGCTGGATGAAAGGATCTTGGCGAAGAGGTCGCCGTCGCCATCGCGCCGGAAGCGGAAACATGTCCCGCCTGGAAGGAGCCGGAGCTCGAAGGCTGGCTTATTGTGATGACTTTCCCTTACCGGGTTTAGGGTTTAGGGTTTAGGGTTTAGGGTTTGGGGTTTGGGGTTTGGGGTTTAGGGTTTAGGGTTTAGGGTTTAGGGTTTAGGGTTTAGGTGTTCCCCCTTATACTAACAGTCCTTTATCGGGATTATAGCACCCCCCTATTACAATCCCTATTAAGGACTGATAGCATAAGGGGCAACATCCCAAGGTTAAGGGTCCGAGGGTTTTGGGCCTAGGAGTTAAGGATTTGGGGTTGAGGGCGCAGGGATTAACGTTGTAGGGCTGTGGGATGCGGGTCGAGGGTTGAAAGCCGTACGTCCTTCCGCCTGAATATCGAGACTCCATCTGCTTGCCGTTTTCGGATCCAGTGGAAGTGCATTTTGCTGCACAGCGAAGTTAACTAACCTGCATCTTGGGCAGCTCAACTACTAGGTTCAAGATGCATATGTAGTATATGGCAGGAGTTGGCGTAACTTCAGGCTTCGCGTTGCGGAAAAATCTAACCCTTACTGTATAGCTACCCAATATAGTCCCTATAAACCTAAGTACTTCAAAGAACTCCTAAGGTCCCTTATAAGGGTCCCTCCTTTGGTGCCTTTGAAAGTAGTCAACCCTCAACCAGGTGAGGGTGGAGGACTTGGGCCTTAATTCCCTGAAGCAAGCTCCCACCTCCCAAACCCCCTGGCCACAAACCTAACCCTAAAGGCCCAAAGCCTAAGACTTAAACGCCCACGTGCTTGCTAAGGTGCGGTTGCCATGCTAAACCCTCATCCCTAATCCCTAAACCCTAACCCCTAAACCCTAAACCCAAACCCTAAACCCTAAACCCTAAACCCTAAACCCTAAACCCTAAACCCCTCAAGGCCCCAGACTTCGTGGACCCACCTCCGCAGCCGCCCTGCAGCTGCTCTGCCGAAGAGACTTTCGCTCCCCCAGCCTGGCTGTTGGTTTCTTTGGGGGGTTTAGGGTTTAGGGTTTAGGGTTTAGGGTTTTGGGTTTTGGGTTTTGGGGGTTTTAGGGTTTTAGGTTTTGGAGTTTTAGGGTTTTAGGGCTTTTGGGTTTTAGGGTTTTAGGGTTTTAGGGTTTTAGGGTTTTAGGGTTTTAGGGTTTTAGGGTTTTAGGGTTTTAGGGTTTTAGGGTTTTAGGGTTTTAGGGTTTTAGGGTTTTAGGGTTTTAGGGTTTGGTCCACCCAACTTTAGTCCTTGTCAGGCTCCCGGTCCCACATCACGCTCTCAGGGCCGTGGGTTTGGTAGCGACCTTCGGGTACACCCTAAACCCTAACCCTAAACCCTAAACCCCCCAAACCCTAAAACCCTAAACCCCAAACCCTCCAAGCTGCGACGATCTGGCAGGGGCTGTCGGTGAAGGGTATAAAGGAGGGACCCCTAGAAGGTACACTTACCCTAAGCCCTAAACCCTAAACCCCTAATCTTATGCCCCTATATAAAGCCCCAACTCATGTCCTGCTATAGCCCCTACATGCCTGAGTATATAGGCCCTGCATCACCCCTCAGGTCCCTCATAGGGGTTTAGTTAGGGTCTATAGGGCTTAGGGTTTAGGACTTCGGCTTTGGGGTTCTAAGGTTGGGGTTTAGGGTTTGGGTTTGGGGTTTGGGGTTTAGGGTTTAGGGTTTAGGGCTTGGGGTTTAGGGTTTAGGGTTTAGGGTTTAGGGTTTAGGGTTTAGGGTTTAGGGTTTAGGGTTTAGGGTTTAGGGTTTAGGGTTTAGGGTTTAGGGTTTAGGGTTTAGGGTTTAGGGTTTAGGGTTTAGGGTGTGCACTCCCTAGTGTGGTGTTGAATCTCGCGAACCCGGACACCCACCCTAACACCCTGACATCCGAACATCCCCAAACCCTAAACCCTAAACCCTAAACCCTAAACCCTAAACCCTAAGCCCTAAACCCTAAACCCTAAACCTTAACCTTCAGAGCCATCCCTCAAGCCAAGCACTCAACCCCACACCCCAAACTCAACAAAGCCAGAAGCCCTTAATCCTAAACCCTAAACCCTAAACCCTAAACCCTAAACCCTAAACCCTAAACCCTAAACCCTAAACCCCCCTAAACCTTCAATACTAACCCGAAACCCTGAACCCTCAAACTAAAACCCGAACACGAAATCCCTAAATCCCAAATCCCCGGAAAGCCTGAATCCTAAACCCTACCCCCTAAAAACCTAAGCCTCAACCCAAAAGCCCTGAAGAAACGAAGCCCTAAACCCAAAACCCTAAATCCCAACCCTAAACCGCCACCAGGTGAACTGCAACGGTTTAGGGTTTAGGGTTTAGGGTTTAGGGTTTAGGGTTTAGGGTTTAGGGTTTAGGGTTTAGGGTTTAGGGTTTAGGGTTTAGGGTTTAGGGTTTAGGGTTTAGGGTTTAGGGTTTAGTGGTTAGGGTTTAGGGTTTAGGGTTTAGGGTTTAGGGTTTAGGGTTTAGGGTTTAGGGTTTAGGGTTTAGGGTTTAGGGTTTAGGGTTTAGGGTGCAAAGCCTGGCCACATCGGCCCGCAACAAACCGCACGAAGCTCTTGAGGTCTACGTCGGACGTGGCTTCACCTGGATGCGGGGATCATGGTTTAGGGTATAGGGTTTAGGGTTTAGGGTTCCGTTTAGGGTATAGGGCTTAGGGTTTAGGGTATAGGGTATAGGGTTTAGGGTTTAGGGTTTAGGGTATAGGGTTTAGGGTTTAGGGTTCCGTTTAGGGTTCCGTTTGGGGTGAGGGTTCGGGATTCAGGGCACTGTGGGCATGAGCATGCTGAAAAACAGCTACTGCACGTTCGTGCCATAGCTGCACAGTGGCACCCACAAGTACATTGGCACTACCCAAGGGCCGCTGGCCGCTGGCAGCTTCTTCCAACAACTCACGGGCGAGAAGGTCTTGCCGGCTCTTGGCCACAGGCCAGCTTGTGAAACCTCTCGACAGCGCCAACTATCGACTAGCTACCGGTAGAACAGATAGGAGAAGCGGCACTGATGCCAGAAAATGTTGAAACCTCGATTCTACACGGCTCTACAGCTCATCCTCACAGTGGGTCTTGATTGTGACATCTGAAGTCGCGTAAGTGACGCACGTCAGGCAAAAGCCGTCAGCCATCTGGTCGTCGTCCAGGAAGGCCTGGTCACTCTGGTCGATTTCGCCCGACAGGACCTTGCCGGCGCAGCTGGAGCAAGAGCCAGCGCGGCAGGAGTAAGGCAGCTCGATTCCGTCCTCCTCAGCCTGATCCAGGATGTACACGTCTTCCGGACACTCGATGGTCGAGGTGCCATCCGGCGTCTCCAAAGTCACCTTGATCTGATGACGCTGGATCTTGCAACTCCCGGAATCTTCAGCATTAGCAAAAAATAGCCAAAACAACTCACGATCTTCAAACATGTAAAGGGTGAAAGGTGAGAGCCCCTCTGCCAGGGCTTGAACTCTTGTCTACTGCGCTGCTATGAACAAAAGGCCGTGCCCACTAGTGACGAACGCGACCAGTGACCTAGTGAAATAATGAACATGAATGCAAGATCGAATGACACTAGAGTAGTTGGAGTGTTAGAGAACAAAACTGCCACGATTTCAGCACGGTCACCTTGAAGTGTGCCGGGACTCCTGGGCGTGCTGGCACGGTGCTCACGATGGCCGGGACTTGTCCTGCGGCGAGAGCACCACCCGACAGCGCCTGGCAGCCCATGTGGACGCTCTGCTGCGGCGCCACGAAAGTCGGCGGGCTCGCTGCCCAGAAGCTGCGCAGCACGGCGGCGCAGCAGGCAGCGGCCACGAGCACGGGCAGGGTGCGGCTCTGGGAAACCATTGCGTCCAAAGTCCAAAGTGGCCACTATATCCAAGTGCTGACTTGCGGAGATACTCGCGCCTGCAACGGCGGCAACCACTGCAACAACTGCAACGACTGCAAGGGCTGGACTGAGATTGACAGAGCCGCTTCCTCCTAGCACACACAACCACGTCAGAGTAGCGGGACGCTGGCAGCTTCTTCCAACAACTCACGGGCGAGAAGGTCTTGCCGGCTCTTGGCCACAGGCCAGCTTGTGAAACTTCTCGACAGCGCCAACTATCGACTAGCTACCGGTAGAACAGATAGGAGAAGCGGCACTGATGCCAGAAAATGTTGAAACCTCGATTCTACACGCCTCTACAGCTCATCCTCACAGTGGGTCTTGATTGTGACATCTGAAGTCGCGTAAGTGACGCACGTCAGGCAAAAGCCGTCGCTCATCTGGTCGTCGTCCAGGAAGGCCTGGTCACTCTGGTCGATTTCGCCCGACAGGACCTTGCCGGCGCAGCTGGAGCAAGAGCCAGCGCGGCAGGAGTACGGCAGCTCGATTCCGTCCTCCTCAGCCTGATCCAGGATGTACACGTCTTCCGGACACTCGATGGTCGAGGTGCCATCCGGCGTCTCCAAAGTCACCTTGAACTGATGACGCTGGATCTTGCAACTCCCGGAATCTTCAGCATTAGCAAAAAATAGCCAAAACAACTCACGATCTTCAAACATGTAAAGGGTGAAAGGTGAGAGCCCCTCTGCCAGGGCTTGAACTCTTGTCTACTGCGCTGCTATGAACAAGAGGCCGTGCCCACTAGTGACGAACGCGACCAGTGACCTAGTGAAATAATGAACATGAATGCAAGATCGAATGACACTAGAGTAGTTGGAGTGTTAGAGAACAAAGGTGCCACGATTTCAGCACGGTCACCTTGAAGTGTGCCGGGACTCCTGGGCGTGCTGGCACGGTGCTCACGATGGCCGGGACTTGTCCTGCGGCGAGAGCACCGCCCGACAGCGCCTGGCAGCCCATGTGGACGCTCTGCTGCGGCGCCACGAAAGTCGGCGGGCTCGCTGCCCAGAAGCTGCGCAGCACGGCGGCGCAGCAGGCAGCGGCCACGAGCACGGGCAGGGTGCGGCTCTGGGAAGCCATCGCGTCCAAAGTCCAAAGTGGCCACTATATCCAAGTGCTGACTTGCGGAGACACTCGCGCCTGCAACGGCGGCAACCACTGCAACGACTGCAACGACTGCAAGTGCTGGACTGAGATTGACAGAGCCGCTTCCTCTTAGCACACACAACCACGTCAGAGTAGCGGGACGCTGGCAGCTTCTTCCAACAACTCACGGGCGAGAAGGTCTTGCCGGCTCTTGGCCACAGGCCAGCTTGTGAAACTTCTCGACAGCGCCAACTATCGACTAGCTACCGGTAGAACAGATAGGAGAAGCGGCACTGATGCCAGAAAATGTTGCAACCTCGATTCTACACGCCTCTACAGCTCATCCTCACAGTGGGTCTTGATTGTGACATCTGAAGTCGCGTAAGTGACGCACGTCAGGCAAAAGCCGTCGCTCATCTGGTCGTCGTCCAGGAAGGCCTGGTCACTCTGGTCGATGTCGCCCGACAGGACCTTGCCGGCGCAGCTGGAGCAAGAGCCAGCGCGGCAGGAGTACGGCAGCTCGATTCCGTCCTCCTCAGCCTGATCCAGGATGTACACGTCTTCCGGACACTCGATGGTCGAGGTGCCATCCGGCGTCTCCAAAGTCACCTTGATCTGATGATGCTGGATCTTGCAACTCCCGGAATCTTCAGCATTAGCACAAAATAGCCAAAACAACTCACGATCTTCAAACATGTAAAGGGTGAAAGGTGAGAGCCCCTCTGCCAGGGCTTGAACTCTTGTCTACTGCGCTGCTATGAACAAAAGGCCGTGCCCACTAGTGACGAACGCGTAATACCAGTGACCTAGTGAAATAATGAACATGGCTGCAAGATCGAATGACACTAGAATAGTTGGAGTGTTAGAGAACAAAATTGCCACGATTTCAGCACGGTCACCTTGAAGTGTGCCGGGACTCCTGGGCGTGCTGGCACGGTGCTCACGATGGCCGGGACTTGTCCTGCGGCGAGAGCACCGCCCGACAGCGCCTGGCAGCCCATGTGGACGCTCTGCTGCGGCGCCACGAAAGTCGGCGGGCTCGCTGCCCAGAAGCTGCGCAGCACGGCGGCGCAGCAGGCAGCGGCCACGAGCACGGGCAGGGTGCGGCTCTGGGAAGCCATTGCGTCCAAAGTCCAAAGTGGCCACTATATCCAAGTGCTGACTTGCGGAGACACTCGCGCCTGCAACGGCGGCAACCACTGCAACGACTGCAACGACTGCAAGTGCTGGACTGAGATTGACAGAGCCGCTTCCTCCTAGCACACACAACCACGTCAGAGGAGCATGGCCTATGGTACTGGCTAAGGGACGCTGGCAGCTTTTTCCAACAATTCACGGGCGAGAAGGTCTTGCCGGCTCTTGGCCACAGGCCAGCTTGTGAAACTTCTCGACAGCGCCAACTATCGACTAGCTACCGGTAGAACAGATAGGAGAAGCGGCACTGATGCCAGAAAATGTTGAAACCTCGATTCTACACGCCTCTACAGCTCATCCTCACAGTGGGTCTTGATTGTGACATCTGAAGTCGCGTAAGTGACGCACGTCAGGCAAAAGCCGTCGCTCATCTGGTCGTCGTCCAGGAAGGCCTGGTCACTCTGGTCGATTTCGCCCGACAGGACCTTGCCGGCGCAGCTGGAGCAAGAGCCAGCGCGGCAGGAGTAAGGCAGCTCGATTCCGTCCTCCTCAGCCTGATCCAGGATGTACACGTCTTCCGGACACTCGATGGTCGAGGTGCCATCCGGCGTCTCCAAAGTCACCTTGATCTGATGACGCTGGATCTTGCAACTCCCGGAATCTTCAGCATTAGCAAAAAATAGCCAAAACAACTCACGATCTTCAAACATGTAAAGGGTGAAAGGTGAGAGCCCCTCTGCCAGGGCTTGAACTCTTGTCTGCTGCGCTGCTATGAACAAAAGGCCGCGCCCACTAGTGACGAACGCGTAATACCAGTGACCTAGTGAAATAATGAACATGGCTGCAAGATCGTATCACACTGGAGCAGTTGGAGTGTTAGAGAACAAAGGTGCCACGATTTCCGCACGGTCACCTTGAAGTGTGCCGGGACTCCTGGGCGTGCTGGCACGGTGCTCACGATGGCCGGGACTTGTCCTGCGGCGAGAGCACCGCCCGACAGCGCCTGGCAGCCCATGTGGACGCTCTGCTGCGGCGCCACGAAAGTCGGCGGGCTCGCTGCCCAGAAGCTGCGCAGCACGGCGGCGCAGCAGGCAGCGGCCACGAGCACGGGCAGGGTGCGGCTCTGGGAAGCCATCGCGTCCAAAGTCCAAAGTGGCCACTATATCCAAGTGCTGACTTGCGGAGACACTCGCGCCTGCAACGGCGGCAACCACTGCAACGACTGCAACGACTGCAAGTGCTGGACTGAGATTGACAGAGCCGCTTCCTCCTAGCACACACAACCACGTCAGAGGAGCATGGCCTATGGTACTGGCTAAGGGACGCTGGCAGCTTTTTCCAACAACTCACGGGCGAGAAGGTCTTGCCGGCTCTTGGCCACAGGCCAGCTTGTGAACAACATGTTGAAACCTCGTTTCTACACGGCTCTACAGCTCATCCTCACAGTTGGTCCTGATTGTAACATCTGACGTCGGGTAAGTGACGCATGTCAGGCAAAAGCCGTCATCCATCTGGTCGTCGTCCAGGAAGGCCTGGTCACTCTGGTCGATTTTGCCCGACACGACCTTGCCGGTGCAGCTGGAGCAAGAGCCAGCGCGGCAGGAGTAAGGCAGCTCGATTCCGTCCTCCTCAGCCTGATCCAGGATGTACACGTCTTCCGGACACTCGATGACCGAGGTGCCATCCGGCGTCTCCAAAGTCACCTTGATCTGATGACCCTGCATCTTGCAACTCGCGGAATCTTTTAGGACTAGCCAAAACAACTCACGATCTTCAAACATGTAAAGGGTGAAAGGAGAGGGCGCGCCTCTGCCAGGGCTTTAACCCTTGTCTACTGCGCTGCTTTTAACAAAGGCCGTGCCCATTAGTGACGAAGGAAAAGCGCACGCATTATAAGCAAAGCCCGTGCCTGAGTGAAACGACCAACATGAGTGCAAGATCGTATCACACTGGAGCAGTTGGAGTGTTAGAGAACAAAGGTGCCACGATTTCCGCACGGTCACCTTGAAGTGTGCCGGGACTCCTGGGCGTGCTGGCACGGTGCTCACGATGGCCGGGACTTGTCCTGCGGCGAGAGCACCGCCCGACAGCGCCTGGCAGCCCATGTGGACGCTCTGCTGCGGCGCCACGAAAGTCGGCGAGCTCGCTGCCCAGAAGCTGCGCAGCACGGCGGCGCAGCAGGCAGCGGCCACGAGCACGGGCAGGGTGCGGCTCTGGGAAGCCATTGCGTCCAAAGTCCAAAGTGGCCACTATATCCAAGTGCTGACTTGCGGAGACACTCGCGCCTGCAACGGCGGCAACCACTGCAACGACTGCAACGACTGCAACGACTGCAAGTGCTGGACTGAGATTGACAGAGCCGATTCCTCCTAGCACACACAACCACGTCAGAGGAGCATGGCCTATGGTACTGGCTAAGGGACGCTGGCAGCTTTTTCCAACAATTCACGGGCGAGAAGGTCTTGCCGGCTCTTGGCCACAGGCCAGCTTGTGAACAACATGTTGAAACCTCGTTTCTACACGGCTCTACAGCTCATCCTCACAGTTGGTCCTGATTGTAACATCTGACGTCGGGTAAGTGACGCATGTCAGGCAAAAGCCGTCATCCATCTGGTCGTCGTCCAGGAAGGCCTGGTCACTCTGGTCGATTTTGCCCGACACGACCTTGCCGGTGCAGCTGGAGCAAGAGCCAGCGCGGCAGGAGTAAGGCAGCTCGATTCCGTCCTCCTCAGCCTGATCCAGGATGTACACGTCTTCCGGACACTCGATGACCGAGGTGCCATCCGGCGTCTCCAAAGTCACCTTGATCTGATGACCCTGCATCTTGCAACTCGCGGAATCTTTTAGGACTAGCCAAAACAACTCACGATCTTCAAACATGTAAAGGGTGAAAGGAGAGGGCGCGCCTCTGCCAGGGCTTTAACCCTTGTCTACTGCGCTGCTTTTAACAAAGGCCGTGCCCATTAGTGACGAAGGAAAAGCGCATTATAAGCAAAGCCCGTGCCTGAGTGAAACGACCAACATGAGTGCAAGATCGTATCACACTGGAGCAGTTGGAGTGTTAGAGAACAAAGGTGCCACGATTTCCGCACGGTCACCTTGAAGTGTGCCGGGACTCCTGGGCGTGCTGGCACGGTGCTCACGATGGCCGGGACTTGTCCTGCGGCGAGAGCACCGCCCGACAGCGCCTGGCAGCCCATGTGGACGCTCTGCTGCGGCGCCACGAAAGTCGGCGAGCTCGCTGCCCAGAAGCTGCGCAGCACGGCGGCGCAGCAGGCAGCGGCCACGAGCACGGGCAGGGTGCGGCTCTGGGAAGCCATTGCGTCCAAAGTCCAAAGTGGCCACTATATCCAAGTGCTGACTTGCGGAGACACTCGCGCCTGCAACGGCGGCAACCACTGCAACGACTGCAACGACTGCAACGACTGCAAGTGCTGACTGAGATTGACAGAGCCGATTCCTCCTAGCACACACAACCACGTCAGAGGAGCATGGCCTATGGTACTGGCTAAGGGACGCTGGCAGCTTTTTCCAACAATTCACGGGCGAGAAGGTCTTGCCGGCTCTTGGCCACAGGCCAGCTTGTGAACAACATGTTGAAACCTCGTTTCTACACGGCTCTACAGCTCATCCTCACAGTTGGTCCTGATTGTAACATCTGACGTCGGGTAAGTGACGCATGTCAGGCAAAAGCCGTCATCCATCTGGTCGTCGTCCAGGAAGGCCTGGTCACTCTGGTCGATTTTGCCCGACACGACCTTGCCGGTGCAGCTGGAGCAAGAGCCAGCGCGGCAGGAGTAAGGCAGCTCGATTCCGTCCTCCTCAGCCTGATCCAGGATGTACACGTCTTCCGGACACTCGATGACCGAGGTGCCATCCGGCGTCTCCAAAGTCACCTTGATCTGATGACCCTGGATCTTGCAACTCGCGGAATCTTTTAGGACTAGCCAAAACAACTCACGATCTTCAAACATGTAAAGGGTGAAAGGAGAGGGCGCGCCTCTGCCAGGGCTTTAACCCTTGTCTACTGCGCTGCTTTTAACAAAGGCCGTGCCCATTAGTGACGAAGGAAAAGCGCATTATAAGCAAAGCCCGTGCCTGAGTGAAACGACCAACATGAGTGCAAGATCGTATCACACTGGAGCAGTTGGAGTGTTAGAGAACAAAGGTGCCACGATTTCAGCACGGTCACCTTGAAGTGTGCCGGGACTCCTGGGCGTGCTGGCACGGTGCTCACGATGGCCGGGACTTGTCCTGCGGCGAGAGCACCGCCCGACAGCGCCTGGCAGCCCATGTGGACGCTCTGCTGCGGCGCCACGAAAGTCGGCGGGCTCGCTGCCCAGAAGCTGCGCAGCACGGCGGCGCAGCAGGCAGCGGCCACGAGCACGGGCAGGGTGCGGCTCTGGGAAGCCATTGCGTCCAAAGTCCAAAGTGGCCACTATATCCAAGTGCTGACTTGCGGAGACACTCGCGCCTGCAACGGCGGCAACCACTTCAACGACTGCAACGACTGCAAGTGCTGGACTGAGATTGACAGAGCCGCTTCCTCTTAGCACACACAACCACGTCAGAGGAGCATGGCCTATGGTACTGGCTAAGGGACGCTGGCAGCTTTTTCCAACAACTCACGGGCGAGAAGGTCTTGCCGGCTCTTGGCCACAGGCCAGCTTGTGAAACCTCTCGACGGCACCAACTATCGACTAGCTACCGGTAGAACAGATAGGAGAAGCGGCACTGATGCCAGAAAATGTTGAAACCTCGATTCTACACGGCTCTACAGCTCATCCTCACAATGGGTCTTGATGGTAACATCTGAAGTCGCGTAAGTGACGCACGTCAGGCAAAAGCCGTCGCTCATCTGGTCATCGTCCAGGAAGGCCTGGTCACTCTGGTCGATTTCACCCGACAGGACCTTGCCGGCGCAGCTGGAGCAAGAGCCAGCGCGGCAGGAGTAAGGCAGCTCGATTCCGTCCTCCTCAGCCTGATCCAGGATGTACACGTCTTCCGGACACTCGATGGTCGAGGTGCCATCCGGCGTCTCCAAAGTCACCTTGATCTGATGACCCTGGATCTTTCAACTCGCGGAATCTTTAGGACTAGCCAAAACAACTCACGATCCCTTCAAGGATATAAGGGTGAAAGGAGAGGGCGCCCCTGCCAGGGCTTTAACCCTTGTCTACTGCGCTGCTTTTAACAAAGGCCGTGCCCGTTAGTGACGAAGGAAAAGCGCATTATAAGCAAAGCCCGTGCCTGAGTGAAACGACCAACATGAGTGCAAGATCGTATCACACTGGAGCAGTTGGAGTGTTAGAGAACAAAGGTGCCACGATTTCAGCACGGTCACCTTGAAGTGTGCCGGGACTCCTGGGCGTGCTGGCACGGTGCTCACGATGGCCGGGACTTGTCCTGCGGCGAGAGCACCGCCCGACAGCGCCTGGCAGCCCATGTGGACGCTCTGCTGCGGCGCCACGAAAGTCGGCGAGCTCGCTGCCCAGAAGCTGCGCAGCACGGCGGCGCAGCAGGCAGCGGCCACGAGCACGGGCAGGGTGCGGCTCTGGGAAGCCATTGCGTCCAAAGTCCAAAGTGGCCACTATATCCAAGTGCTGACTTGCGGAGACACTCGCGCCTGCAACGGCGGCAACCACTGCAACGACTGCAACGACTGCAAGTGCTGGACTGAGATTGACAGAGCCGCTTCCTCTTAGCACACACAACCACGTCAGAGGAGCATGGCCTATGGTACTGGCTAAGGGACGCTGGCAGCTTTTTCCAACAACTCGCGGGCGAGAAGGTCTTGCCGGCTCTTGGCCACAGGCCAGCTTGTGAAACCTCTCGACGGCACCAACTATCGACTAGCTACCGGTAGAACAGATAGGAGAAGCGGCACTGATGCCAGAAAATGTTGAAACCTCGATTCTACACGGCTCTACAGCTCATCCTCACAATGGGTCTTGATGGTGACATCTGAAGTCGCGTAAGTGACGCACGTCAGGCAAAAGCCGTCGCTCATCTGGTCATCGTCCAGGAAGGCCTGGTCACTCTGGTCGATTTCACCCGACAGGACCTTGCCGGCGCAGCTGGAGCAAGAGCCAGCGCGGCAGGAGTAAGGCAGCTCGATTCCGTCCTCCTCAGCCTGATCCAGGATGTACACGTCTTCCGGACACTCGATGGTCGAGGTGCCATCCGGCGTCTCCAAAGTCACCTTGATCTGATGACCCTGGATCTTGCAACTCGCGGAATCTTTTAGGACTAGCCAAAACAACTCACGATCTTCAAACATGTAAAGGGTGAAAGGTGAGGGCGCCTCTGCCAGGGCTTGAACTCTTGTCTACTGCGCTGCTTTTAACAAAGGCCGTGCCCATTAGTGACGAAGGAAAAGCGCATTATAAGCAAAGCCCGTGCCTGAGTGAAACGACCAACATGAGTGCAAGATCGTATCACACTGGAGCAGTTGGAGTGTTAGAGAACAAAGGTGCCACAATTTCAGCACGGTCACCTTGAAGTGTGCCGGGACTCCTGGGCGTGCTGGCACGGTGCTCACGATGGCCGGGACTTGTCCTGCGGCGAGAGCACCGCCCGACAGCGCCTGGCAGCCCATGTGGACGCTCTGCTGTGGCGCCACGAAAGTCGGCGGGCTCGCTGCCCAGAAGCTGCGCAGCACGGCGGCGCAGCAGGCAGCGGCCACGAGCACGGGCAGGGTGCGGCTCTGGGAAGCCATTGCGTCCAAAGTCCAAAGTGGCCACTATATCCAAGTGCTGACTTGCGGAGACACTCGCGCCTGCAACGACTGCACGTCGGGCATGTGCCACCCATATCAATACCGTGGAGGCCTAAAAAAATCCCGAGCTCCAAGCCCTAAACAGTACTCAGACTCTGACCCCATTAATGAGGTCTTCGGGCGTAGGATTTCGGGTCCTGGGCTTTGGGTTTTTTTTTCGGCTACAAATTCTCAGAGCACTTGAAGCTGACTTTATGTTCAGAGCAACAAATGCGAACATGATTTCAGAAGATAATCTCCTCCCCCTAATATCAAACCCTTCCCTACCCCGCTTAAACCCTAAACCCCAAACCCTAAACCCTAAACCCTAAACCCCAAACCCTAAACCCTAAACCCCAAACCCTAAACCCTAAACAGCGAGGCGCGTGCTCCGGCTTCAATGCAGCAATCATGTCTTGCGACGCGGTGTGGGCAGTGTGCCAGCCGAGAACTGGACCCACGTCCATTCAATGGAACGGGCCTCACAAAACGAATCCTAAAGCCTCTAAACCCTAAACCCGCGACTCTTCTAAAAGTCCTAAACCCTAAGCCCTAAAACCCCAACCCTAAAACCCTAAGACCTAAAACCCTAAACCCTAAACCCTAAACCCTAAACCCAGATGCAACGCAGCGCGAAAATCCCGAGGCCGCCTGCCTCAGGGCAGCCTTCTCGGGCTGTTGGCGGGAGCTGCGGCATGAAAAAAAGTGTTAAAACGTGGGAAGGCGGTGAAGGGTTTAGGGTTTAGGGTTTAGGGTTTAGGGTTTAGGGTTTAGGGTTTGGGGTTTAGGGTTTAGGGTTTAGGGTTTAGGGTTTAGGGTTTAGGGTTTAGGGTTTAGGGTTTAGGGTTAGGGTTTAGGGAAGGCAGGGAAAGAAGCGCCCTTCACTGCAAGGCGTCCATGGCCGCCAGGCGTGCGCGCCATGTCCGCAGGAGCTCCTCCGTGATGGAGGCTAAGACTTCGCTGGCCAGCGTCTCCCTGGCGTACAGCAGGGTTTAGGGTTTAGGGTTTAGGGTTTAGGGTTTAGGGTTTAGGGTTTAGGGTTTAGGGTTTAGGGTTTAGGGTTTAGCGATTGGGGTTTGGGGGGTGTTTGGGGGTTTGGGGGTTTGGGGTTTGGGGGCTTAGGGTTTTGGAGCTTAGGTTTGGGGGTGCATTGGAATATGAGGGCAGGCGCGTGATGTTTCAAGCGTCTCTGCTACAAGGCTATTGCTGGGAGCACGGGCAACCCTCAACCCCAAACCCTCAACCCTCAAGCCTAAACCCGAAACCTCAAAACCTCAAACCCTAAACCCTAAACCCTCTACCTGCAAAAGGTATGTCGGGTATGAGGGCACAGGCCTGAAGAAGTCCAAAAAAACCCAAATTTGCTAATGGTAGGCCCTAAACCCTTCAACCCTTAAATCCCCAAAGCCCCGACCCCGCAAGACATATAAGCCCCTATACTTCTCTAAACCCTCCAAAAGCCCCTAGACGCCCGGATTCCTTACCAATCCCATGAAACTCCTAAGTCTCTAAACCTTTTACCAGTTCTTCCACGAGGAATACGGGAGTTCGGCAACCTCACAAAGAACCACACCCTGCACCCCTCAACCTTCAAACCCCCAAAACCCTAAACACTAAACCCCCTACACCCCCCTGCCCTAAACCCTAAACCCTAAACCCCAAACCCTAAACCCTAAACCCCAAACCCTAAACCCTAAACCCCAAACCCTAAACCCTAAACCCCAAACCCTAAACCCTAAACACCAAATCCCAAACCCGAGCCCGAGCCTGAACTCCGCACCCAGGGCCTGTCGCAGCGCCTGTTGGGGAGCCCCAGTTGAAAGGTTTAGGGCTTAGGGTTTAGGGTTTAGGGTTTAGGGTTTGGGGTTTGGGGTTTGGGGTTTGGGGTTTAGGGTTTAGGGTTTAGGGTTTGGGGTTTGGGGTTTGGGGTTTAGGGCTTGGGGTTTAGGGCCCAGGGCTCCGTTTGTTGCTTTCGAAATACAACCCTCTTGCATCCACTAAAGGAAGATACAGAATCTCCCAAGGTCCTGTCTAGGTGCAAATACAGGAGCCTACATGTACCAATACTATCACCCTGCGCCTTTCAATGCATAGTAAACACTACCCAAAATACCATTCCAACACATAGGCGTCAAGAACCCTAAACCCTAAACCCTAAACACGAGTTTCAGAGGGGGGGGGCAGGGGGGCAACACCCAAATCTCCCTTCAACTCCTGACCCTTAACTACTACTTACTTAAGAAATCTTCTTGATACGGGCAGTATAGGGATTAAGTAGTGTCTTTTCTTTGTTGCTTTTTTGGGAGGGGGGGGTTCTTAAGCAACCCTCAACCCTAAACCCTAAACCCTAAACCCTAAACCCTAAACCCTAAACCCTAAACCCTAAACCCTAAACTCTAAACCCTAACCCTAAAACCGAAGCTTTTCACCTCAGGGCCTCTGCCAGCTCGGCGCTTTCGCCGTTGCCCAGGACCGCGCGCACGGCCGCGCGCAGCACGCCCGGCACCTTCGTTGCTGAGCTCATAAGCCCCAGAAAGAGTGCACACTTTCAGTTCTGTAGGGGATTCTAACCCTAAACCCTAAACCCTAAACCCTAAACCCTAAACCCTAAACCCTGAGTATCCCCCCAAAATGTGTAAAGTGTACTCGTTCGGCTCCTAAGGGACGAGGTCTTCGAGGTTCCCGATGTCGATGCCCAAGCCCTGGAAGGCATCCCGGAAGGTGCCGAAGTCCACATCCTTACTTCTCCCAACAAGGGTTTAGGGTTTAGGGTTTAGGGTTTAGGGTTTAGGGTTTAGGGTTTAGGGTTTAGGGGATTTAGGGTTTAGGGGGTTTAGGGCTTAGGGTTTAGGGTTGAAGGTTTAGGGTTTAGGGCTTAGGGCTTAGGGCTTAGGGCTTAGGGTTTAGGATCTCCATCAACCAAGAGGGAGACAACAGCTTAAACTTTATGATTCCTTCTACATAAGGACACCCAAAAAGTTTTAAAGTTCAAGTATTGGCTAATTCCTACTAAGAAAAGGAAACCCAAAAAACTCAAAAAGTTCAACTCTTGGCTAATTCCTACCAAGAAAAGGACCACCCAAAAAATCATAAAATATTGGCTTCTTCCTACTAAGAAAAGGAAACCCAAAAAGCTTAAAATTCAACTCTTGGCTAATTCCTACTAAGAAAAGGAAACCCAAAGACCGTAAAAGTTCAACACTTGTCTAACTCCTACTCAGAAAAGGAAACCCAAAAAGCTGAAAAGTTCTCAACTCTTGGCTAAGGCAAAGTAAAAAAATGTTAAACTTTATTATTCCTAGTAAATAAGGAGACCCCAAAAAAACTTAAATTATTTGTTTTCTTCAAAGTAAGCATCAACTCCTACTAAAAAAGGAAACCCAAAAATCGTAGAAAAACCCAACCATTCGCTAAGGTAAAGTAAGCATCCTCCACGGTTCCCAGGGGGGGCAGGACAGCATCCAGGATGTCCTCGGCAGGCAGCACTGCCAGGCCCTTGTCAAACCTTAGTTGCCGAGTTCATAAGCTCCCCCCCCCCGAAAGTGTTTGGGGTTTAGGGTTTAGGATTTAGGGTTTAGGATTTAGGGTTTAGGGTTGAGGGTGTAGACTGTCAGTTCTAGAGGGTGATTATGACAACCCCCCCGAAAAAAAGTGTGTGAGGTGTACTCATGCAGCTACTAAGAAGCAGCTCCGCGCCGGTGCCCTCGATGTTGCGCGGCACGGGCACCAGCAGCGGCGGCGCCGGCGGCGCTGGCAGTCGGCCCAGCAGAGGAAGCCTTGCTTAGATAAGGGTACCTATTAACCCAATAAGGTTTAGGGTTTAGGGTTTAGGGTTTAGGGTTTAGGGTTTAGGGTTTAGGGTTTAGGGTTTAGGGTTTGGGGAGACCACGGCGACGTGTGTGTGGAGTTCAATCGCGTTCCCTGTTGAGGCAGAGCTACAATGATACGGGTCTTAAGGTTCTCGGCAGTAGTAGGGAGTCTTCGGGAACCTTGGGTTTCTATACCCCCCTTGAACCCCCCCCCGGTAAGAACCCTGCACTCAACCATGTGGAACCCACCACCCCTATGTCTCCTTCATAAGGCACAAGGCGTGGTGCAATCTCCCCCTTCCCCACCCCCCCTCCCGCCCCTCGTTTACAGCTTGGGGTTTTTACCACAAAGGCTCACGGCCCTCCTGTACCCAAACCTTGCTCTGGCCACTTAAACTCTTGGGCTCTGTGGGGAGCGCCCTGTATTTCAAAAGGCCCCATGTTGCAAAATGATCTCCCAAAAAAAGGATCATAACTAGCAGAACCTCCCATTTGCAAGCGGTAGCTAATAGGACCTGCAAGCTAAATCCTGGGTGGAAGTAGCCCTCAAAATCGCAGATGCTCCTGACGTGCATGCCCGGTGTCCACGGTTTGGGGTTTAGGGTGTAGGGTTTACAGTTTATGGTTTAGGGTTTAAGGTTTGGGGCACGTTTAGGGTTCAGGGTTCAGGGTTCAGGGTATAGATACCCTAACCCTCCCAGCAAGCAGGCCTGGGCTGTAGCAGGTCCTGCGAGAAACTAGCAACGACTGGCAGGTTCATGGTACTTATTAACGAAGGATAACTGCACTTTTCACTGTACTTCTAGCCATATTAGGGAACCGAAAGGGGCTCAGAAGTGGGTCATAAGCACAGTGAAAGTTTGTTAGCAAGTACCGTGAACCTCCAAGTACACGTCTCATGATGCGCATGGCGAGCGAGAGAGGAACCGACGCCATGACAGCAAAGGCTTACTCGGGGCAAAGGGCTACCGCAAAGGGCACCCACAGCTGACATCCAAGCCCCTAAACCCTAAACCCTAAACCCTAAACCCTATCTTCCTTCGTTACTCCTTACGACATGCCCAACACACAAGCAAGGGCGCATTCAAGCACATCTGCTCACTTCGATGTGGGAGGTTTACGAAAAATAGGGGACCCCCAATATAGACCCCAAATAGCAGGTTTCCCTCATCATAAGGACCCCAAGAAGGTACCCCGTACTATCGAAAACCCCATGTCCTGCAGCGTGGTGCGCACACGCCGGCTGGTGCGGCGGAGCACGAGGTCCAGCCCGTAGGCGAGCTCTGCATTGAGGAGGGGCCGGAGGTTGCGCGCCGCTGGGGAGAGCAAGAAGCGCACCACGTCCTTCAGGGTTTGGGGCTTAGGGTTTAGGGTTTAGGGTTTAGGGTTTAGGGTTTAGGGTTTAGGGTTTAGGGTTTAGGGTTTAGGGTTTAGGGTTTAGGGTTTAGGGTTTAGGGTTTTGGGCTTTTTTTTGGCGGGGGGGAGAAGGTTTCGGGTTCGGGGCTTAGGGTTTCAGGTTTCTTTTTCTTGGGGTGCAGACTGATGCGGACCTCTCCCCTCCTATGCTGCGCTCCGCACCTGATTTTGCTGGCGGAGTGCCTTGTATGCCCAAACAAGGGCAAGTCAGCAGAGTGCCTTGATTGGTCCTCCTTGTATGTAGTATACCTAGTTGCCCAAGCAAGGTCAAGTAGGAGTTTATATACCCAGCTTCTAAGCTTCTTGTGGAGAGGATACTGGATGCTTGCAGTTCGGCGCTGTTTCGCTGATTCGCTCTTTGCAAGTATGGCTGCTTCTCAGAACTAGGGCCCCTTCTCGCGTACATATGACGCGCCAGAGGATGTGCCATCAGAACTTCGAAAGGGGGACCATCACTTACGCAAAAAGAGAGGGTTAGAGCTGTTAACGACCGACGAGGGCTCTTGCTTCCCAAAAGGAAGACAGCTCTTTGCGTTAGTGGTTCAAGCCTGGGTTTAGGGTTCAGGGTTCGGGTTTAGGGTTTAGGGTTTAGGGTTTAGGGTTTAGGGTTTAGGGTTTAGGGGAAAGGGTTTCGGGTTTAGGGCTTTAGGGCTTTAGTGCTTTAGTTTAGGGCTTAGGGTTTAGGGTTTAGGGTTTAGGTTTAGGGTTTAGGGTTTAGGGTTTATGGTTTAGGGTTTAGGGTTTAGGGTTTAGGGTTTAGGGTTTAGTGCTTTAGGGCTTTAGTGCTTTAGGGTTTAGGGTTTGGGGTTTAGGGTTTAGGGTTTAGGGTTTAGGGTTTAGGGTTTAGGGTTTAGGGTTGAAGGGTTCAGGGGCTCAGGGTATTCTTGGGGGCTCGGCGTCTGGCCTTGGCTGGCGCGCCCTCCTCGGGCACGGCATCGAAGTCAATGAAGCCGCTCCTTCAGGAGATCCTAAACTTGGGATGTTCCCCCTTTAGGGTTTAGGGTTTAGGGTTTAGGGTTTAGGGTTTAGGGTTTAGGGTTTAGGGTTTAGGGTTTAGGGTTTAGGGTTGGGATGTTCCCCTTCTACTACCAGTCCTTCATAGGGATTATAGTACCCCCTACTATAATCCCCATTAAGGACTGATAGTATAAGGGGTAACATCCCAATCCTAAACCCCAAACCCCAAAACCCTTAGGGTTTAGGAAATTAGGGTTTGAGGGTTTGAGGGTTTGGGGTCCGGGGTTTGGGGTTTGGGGTGTAGGGTTTAAGGTCTAAGGTTTAGGACCCCAAGCCCTAAACCCTAAACCCAAACGAGGAAGGTAAGGTGAGGGGGCGAATCACATGGGCAGTTCCCTAAATCATGGCACCCTTTTAGGACCCCTATAGAATACGGCGCCCTTGTAACAAAAACATGACAAGCCGACCAAAGAGACTCCCTAAGCACTGTAAGCCTAAACCCTAAACCCTAAACCCTAAACCCTAAACCCTAAACCCTAAACCCTAAACCCTAAACCCTAAACCCTAAACCCTAGTTTAGAGAACTACCAAGGTGATCCCGTGACTCCTGGATCCCTCCGACGCACCAGCCACAACACCCAGCGAGGCCTGTAGGCGCTGGGGTTGGAGTCTGAGTGGTTCTTGAAGTAGGGTTTAGGGTTTAGGGTTTAGGGTTTAGGGTTTAGGGTGTAGGGTTTAGGGTTTAGGGTTTAGGGTTTAGGGTTTAGGGTTTAGGGTTTAGGGTTTAGGGTTTAGGGTTTAGGGTTTAGGGTTTGAGGTTAGTTAATTGGGGCCCAGGGTTTAGGGTTTGGGGGTTAGGGTTGAGGGTTTAGGGTTTACAGGGTTCCCACCGGGGGTTCAGGGTTCAGGGCTTGAAAGCAGTTTAGGTTTTCGAGTTGAGTGTTAGTGTTTAGGGATTAGGGTTTAGGGTCTAGGGTTTAGGGTCTATTCGTGTTCGGAGTCGAGGGTTGGGGGGTTCCGAGGTTGAAGGCTTTGGGCTTGGGATGTCGAAGCCCTAAACTTAGGATGTTCCCCCTTATACTAACAGTCATTAATAGGGATGATAGTACCCCATAGTACAATCCCTATCAAGGACTGCTAGTACAAGGGGGAACATCCCAACCCCAAACCCTAAACCCTCAAACCCTCAAACCCTTCAACTCTAAACCCTAAACCCTAAACCCTAAACCGTTCAACCCTTCAGAAGCCTATAGTGGAGTCACCCCACAGGCCTGCAGCAGCGTGGCCAGGCGCTGCGGCCGCATGCGCCGCGTCTTGGGGTCGTAAAGCCTTGGGGACCACATTGAAGCCCTAAGATTGGGTTCATACGCCCTATACTACGATAATTCCGATTATTAAGGTAACATGAACCTAAACCCTAAACCCTCAACCCTAAACCCTAAACCCTCTTAGGGCTCATTTGGGGGGTTTACGAAAACAAGGGACCCCATCTAAGGACCCGACAAGGTACCCCGAATGTTGGAAACCCTAAACCCTAAACCTTAATCCCTAAACCCTAAACCCTGAACCCTAAAACCCTAAACCCCTTTCAAGGGTTCATGTTGGTCCCCAAGGAACAGCTCGCGCAGCGCCGCGAAGGACCGGCGGTTGGAGTTCTGCAACAGGCGGCGCACCACGAAGGGGTAGGCCATGGCCACGATCCTAGGGTTTAGGGTTTAGGGTTTAGGGTTTAGGGTTTAGGGTTCAGGGTTCAGGGTTCATGCTTTCAGAGTGAGCAAACAGCCACACCCCCACACCACCTACAATCCGGAACTCTGAGCCTTGCACCGTTCACCCTGAATCCCTCAACCCTAAACCCTAAACCCTAAACCCTAAACCCTAAACCCTAAACCCTAAACCCTAAACCCTAAACCCTAAACCCTACACTAGCTCAAGGCAAGCGTCTGATATTGCGGGTCGCCCTGCAAGGCCACGCCTTCCAGCGTGGCCACGGAGCGCGCCAGCAGCGACACCTGCGTCATTGCCGGGTTTAGGGTTTAGGGTTTGGGGTTTAGGGTTTAGGGTTTAGGGTTCAGGGTTTAGGGTTTAGGGTTTAGGGTTTAGGGTTTAGGGATGATCATGCTTATTCCTTATTGGGATTTGTTTATGACAAAAATCTAAAATCACAACCAACAAGGACCAAGACACGTAAGGCGGGATGGAGAACTTCACTTCGAGGTTCACCTTCAGCAGGTCCTGCAGGGCTTGAGGTTTAGGGTTTAGGGTTTAGGGTTTAGGGTTTAGGGTTTAGGGTTTAGGGTCTAGGGTCTAGGGTTTTTTGGGTTTTGGGTTTAGGGTTTAGGGTTTAGGGTCCAGGGTCTAGGGTTTAGGGTTTAGGGTTTACGAGGTGTAGGGTGTCTCGCCTCACAGCAGCAGTAAATGCCATGTGGAAAGAGCGCCCCGACAAACCCAGAACAGGAGCAGGAGCAGCAGCAGTAGCAGCAGCAGCAGCAGCAGCAGCACGACAGTCAGAACAGTCATTATTACACAGCAATGGAGCAGGTGGTTCCGTCACACACATGGAAGGTCTCTTGCATGGAGGTCCTGCGTGAGGGCCTGGAAGTTGGCGTTCTTGAAAGCCTGCAATTTAAGGCTTCGGGGCTTCGGGTTTTTGATGGTTTTAGTTTTTTAGGGTTTAGGGCTTTAGAGCTTGGGGGCTCTGACTCTATGATCTTAAGCACCAGAGGGTGTGGCGAAACCCGAAACCCTGAACCCTGAACCCTAAACACTAAACCCTAAATCCTAAACCCTAAACCCTAGGCCCTAAACCCTAAACCCTACACCCTAATCCTAAACTCTAAACTCGAAACCCTAAGCCGAGAATGGAAAGCCCCCGGGCAGCAAAATGAAGACGTGTCGGGGCCATTCTGCACCCCAACAACCCCCATGTGTAGGGTTGAGGGTTTAGGGCTTGGGATTGTAGGGTCTAGGGTCTAGGGTTGTTCGGGTTCGGGTTCAAGTTGCGGGCTTGGGCATGAGGTTTGGGGTTTTGGGCTTGGGTGGGAGAAAGAGACTTTTGGGGTCCAGGGTTTAGGGGTTTAGGGTTTAGGGTTTAGGGTCTAGGGTCTAGGGTCTAGGGTCTAGGGTCTAGGGTCTAGGGTCTAGGGTTTAGGTTTGAAGCCACAACCCTGATCCCACAAGAGAGCCTGGGCGCCGCCACCCCTCAGGTAGGGGCCAAGCACGCGCTGGAGGATGGGCACCAGGGAGGCCTGGGGAGGTGCCCGGGCTTCTGTTTCGGGGGTTAGGGGTTGGCGTTTAGGGGTTTGGGGATTAGGGGTTTAGGGTTTAGGGTTTCCTGTGTAGTGTCCTAAGTCCGACCCCCCCCAAACCCCAAACTGTGAACTCTAAAGTTTTAATTTAGGCTTCTAGGGTTCAGGGGCTTAAGGTTCATATCGTTTTGCTTGGGAAGCAGGGGTTTCTACAGGCAAGAGGGTCGAGGGGCCCATGTGGTAGCAATGCATCCCCAAACCCTCACACACTGAGGTCCCTAAACCCTAAACCCTAAACCCTAAACCCTAAACCCTAAACCCTAAACCCTAAACCCCCTCAACCCCAAGTCCTCTACACTTCCATGAGCTCATTTAGCATGCCCAGGTCCCCTACACCCTCAAAATCCACAGAAGCCTCGCCCCCTCAACCCGAGGCTTTTAAGGTTTCGGGTTCTAGGGTTTAGGGTTTACGGTTTAGGGTTTAGGGTTTAGGGTTTAGGGTTTCGGGTTTAGGGTTTAGGGTTTAGGGTTTGGGGTTTAGGGTTTAGGGTTTAGGGTTTAGGGTTTAGGGTTTAGGGCTTAAGGTTTCGGGCTTTCTTCGGGTTTCCAGCGCAAAACGCTGGCGGGAGCCCGCGGCGCCTGGTCCACGTCGGGCGCCAGGAACCTGAGCTGCTGGAAGTCCGCGATCAAGGCCTCCCAGTTCTGCGTGCCTCGGGGGACGGCTTGAGAGCTTGGAGGCGCGGAGCCGCTGGTTCAGGGTTGAGGGTTGAGGGTTCAGGGTTGAGGGTTCAGGGTTGAGGGTTGAGGGTTGAGGGTTGAGGGTTGAGGGTTTAGAGTTTAGGGTTTAGGGTTTAGGGTTTAGGGTTTAGGGATTAGGGTTTAGGGTTTAGGGTCTAAGGCTTTGGGCTTGGGGCTTTGGGTTTCGGGTTTCGCAGGACGGGAAATTGGAGTCCCAGATAGGGTGCGGGGCTTTAAGTTTGAAGGATCCGGAGGTTTTCGGATTTCGGGCCGCAGCCAGTAACGGGATGAAGGGGGACAGGAAAGGAGAGAGAGAGAGAGAGAGAGAGTCACCTAAACCCTAGACCCTAAACCCTAAACCCTACACCCTAAACCCTAAACCCTAGACCCTAAACAGTGCGAGCATGGTGCCGAGGTGAACCACCGCTGAGATGATCAGCTCGCGATCCTCACGGGGCACCTGTGCCACGAGGCCAAAGTCCAGGAGGCAGAGCTTCCCTGCGTCCGGACCTCCGGGCTTAGGTTTAGGGTTTAGGGTTTAGGGTTTAGGGTTAAGGGTTAAGGGTTTAGGGTTTAGGGTTTAGGGTTTAGGGTTTAGGGTTTAGGGTTTAGGGTTTAGGGTTTAGGGTTTAGGGTTTAGGGTTTAGGGTTTAGGGTTTAGGGTTTAGGGTTTAGGGTTTAGGGTTTAGGTGAGTTAGAGGTCTAGGGGGTTTAGGGGGTCAGGAGCTTGGTGGGCGAGAGGAGACAGAAGGTGTTCAAAAATGCAAAAAACCTCGTGCTCACACGTATGCCAATGCCAACAACACGTGAGTTCAAGCGGGAGAGAGAGACAGCCAGAAAGACAGAGAGGCGAGAGCCAGAGAGAGGGAGCCAGAGAGAGAGTGAGAGGGAGCGAGAGCGAGTGAGCGACAGGAGAGAGAGAGAGAGAGAGAGAGAGAGAGGGAGAGAGATTGCCAGAGAGAGAGAGACGGAGGCGGAGGCAGAGGCAGAGGCAGAGGCAGACACAGAGGCAGAGGCAGAGGAGCTCAAACCAGAATCATTCCAATACCTCAGCCCTAGCAGCCCCGGAAAGCCCAAACCCCTAGACCCTGACCACGCTGCGCCCTAAACCCTAAATGCTAAACCCTAAACCCTAAACCCCAAACCCTAAACCCTAAATGCTAAACCCTAAACCCTAAATCCTAAACCCTAAACCCTGACTACACAGTCACCACCACCGAACCCGGCCTTCCGTGATCTTGAGCAGGTTCCCCGGATGCGGGTCTCCGTGGAAGAAGCCGATGTCCAGGAGCTGGGTCAGAAAGACTTCCTTCAGGTTAGGTTTAGGGTTCTTGGGGATTTTGGGATTAGGGTTTAGGGTTTAGGGTTTAGGGTTTGGGGTTTGGGGTTTGGGGTTTAGGGTTTGGGGTTTGGGGTTTAGGGTTTAGGGCTTAAGGCTTCGGGATTAGGGATGTAGACTTTGGGGTTCTAAGGTTTAAGGATTTGGGGTTTAGGGTTTAGGGCCTAGGGCTTTAGGGTGCAGAGTCTGTGTAGAGCTTGGTCCTACGCGTGCTCGCCCCCCCCCCCCCCCCCCCCCCCACACACCCAGAGATTCCAGAAGCCCCCCCCCCAAAAAAAAAATGAAAAAAACAAACAACTAAACCCTAAACCTGAAACCCAAAACATCCCCTACACCCCCAACCGGAAGTCGGCACCCCTCACTCTCAAACCCTCAACTCCCCCCCCCCCCCCCCCCCCACGGCAAAAAACACAAAAACACAAACTCCTACCAAGAAAAAACCCCAAACAAACCCAAACAAAACAAAAACACTCAAACAAGTCCTGAAACCCCGAATCCAAACCCCCCATGCTCCTGTCCCACGGAGATCAACTCCCGAATTTCCTTCGAGGGCGATTCGGGGGGAGACGACTAGGGCCCGGGCGGTCGCTGGCCAAGGGTGTAGGGTTTAGGGTTTAGGCTTTAGGCTTTAGGCTTTAGGGCCTGACTCCCAACAAACCCTATGAAGCCCTAAACCCTGAAACCCCTGGGCCCTCAGTGTAGGGGGCTCTGTAAACATCTCATTTTATGTCTTTAGAAGGATTATTTAGGGGATGAAGGGAAAAAAAATTAATGTCTAACCCCTTCTAAGCCTTGTTTTGGAGGGTCCCCCAACCCTAAACCCTAAACCCTAAACCCTAAACCCCAAACCCTAAACCCTAAACACCAAACCCCAAACCCAAAACCAGGAACCCTAAACCCTAAACCCTAAACCAGGAACCCTCAGCCTTGTTGTGGAGGGTCCTGCGCAGGCAGGGTGCTCAGCTTCACGCCGTTGACCCACTTCGAGAGCATCACCCGCCGCTTGGTCAGCGACATCAGTGGGCCGGGGATGACGATCCTCGCAGGCAGGTTTAGGGTTTAGGGTTTACGGTTTAGGGTTTAGGGTTTAGGGTTTAGGGTTTAGGGTTTAGGGTTTAGGGTTTAGGGTTTAGGGTTTAGGGTTTAGGGTTTAGGGTTTAGGGTTTAGGGTTTAGGGTTGGGAGCCTTCCTAGAAATTAGGATTTAACAAGTCTCTATCACAACCCCTGATACTCACAACAAAAACTAGGATTTAGGGTTTCAAGCTATACATCGGCCAAGCCCCAAACCCCAAACCCTAAACCCTAAACCCTGAACCCTGAACCCTAAACCCTAAACCCCCAAACACGCAGCCCGCACGTCCTCTCCAGGGCCTCCGGCTCCAAACTCTCCCGGAGCAGCTCCTCCATGCGGATCGCGTTCAGGGCCTCGTGACCGGTTTAGGGTTTAGGGTTTAGGGCTTAGGGTTTAGGGTTTACGGCTTAGGGTTTATGGTTTAGGGTTTAGGGTTTAGCGCTTAGGGTTTGGGGTCGAGGGTTTGGGGTTTGGGGTTAGGGTTTAGGGGTTAGGGTTTAGGGTCGGGGGGGCTTAGGGTTTAGGATTTGGGGTTTGAGGTTTGGGGCTTAGGGTTTAGGATTTGGGGTTTGAGGTTTGGGGTTTTGGGTTTGGGATTTGGGGTTTGGGGGGCTATAGGGTTGCTCTCGAAACCAGGGCTTTTTTGGGGGGGCTTTTTTTAAATGCAATGACTCCCTTTCTCCAAGCGGGCTTAAGGGTTTAAGGGCTTTGGGCTTGAGGGCGTAGGGGCTAGGATGCAAGGATTTAGGGTTTAGGGTTTCGGGCTTTTGGTGGGTTTCTTTAGGCTTTAGGCTTTAGGCTTGAGGCTTTAGGGTTTAGGGTTTGGGGGTTTGGGTTTGGGGTTGGGTTTAGGGTTTGGGATCTAAGGATTTGGGGATGGAGCCTGGTTTAAACCCAAAAGCGTTAGTGTAGAGCAGCCCACCCAATCCGAGACTCCCAACCTTGGGCCCCACATGGTTAGGCGCCTCGTTCCGGAAATCCAGCTCTGTGTAGAGTCCTTCTGCGAAGGTTTCCGTCAAAGCGATGTAGTCCTTTGGGGTTTAGGGCTTAGGGTTTAGTGCGGTTGGTGGAGGGCTAAACCCTAAACCCTGAACCCGAACCCCTAAACCCTAAACCCTTTGGGGTTGTAAGGTTCCGGATTTCAGGGAGCTTGCCTTGTAACTCAAGCCGTTCTCGGGCACGCTTCCACCCAAACAGAACACATGTTCAAGCTTGGCGCATTTTTTCGGGCCAACGCTCTGTTTACTAAAGATCTCTAATGAAAGACGTGTGCCTATACATAAAAGCAGCTGGCTAAACCATAAACCCGAAACGCTAAACCCTAATTAAACCACCCTAAACCCTGGACCCTAAACGCCCCACAGTGGAGCTCGCGGTCCGTCTCGTCCGCAGTGAAGCGCCGGATCAGCGGCTGCATCACGTCCGCGAGGCGGCGCAGCACGTAGAGGTCCTGCAGCTGTGGGGCCTTTGGGGGTCTAAACCTTAAACCCCAAACCCGAAACCCTGAACCTTAAACCCTAAACCCTAAACCCTGAACCCTGAACCTTAAACCCGAAACCCTAAACCCGAAACCCTAAACCCTGAACCTTAAACCCGAAACCCGAAACCCTAACCCGCTGAACCCTGAACCCTAAACCTTCCCTTTACCACATGCACACACAAAAACCCTAAACCCTCGCCCCTCACCCCCCCCTTCCCCCAAAGAACCAACAAAAGCTATGAACCCGAAATCCTAAACCTACATCTAAAGCCTGAACCCTGACCCTAAACCCTAAATCCTTAAACCCTAAGCCCTAAACCCTAAACTCTCCCCTCGCCCTCCCCGCGTCACCCCACCACCACACGCACACACAAAAGCCCAAAACCCTAAACTCCCCGGCCCCTCTCCCCAAAAAAAACAACAAAAGCTGTAAGCCCTAAACCCAAACCCTAAACCCTAAACCCGAAACCCCAAAGCCCTAAACCCTAAACCCTAAACCCAAAACCCCAAAACCCTAAACCCTAAACCCTAAACCCCTAAACCCCTTAACCCCAAACCCCTAAACCCTAAACCCTAAACCCTAAACCCTAAACCCTAAACCCTAAACCCTACCCCCTAAGCCCCCTCCACACACAGAAGCCTTGGAGATGGTGCTGAGCGCTCCGGGCCTTGCACGGGAAGCGAAGCTCGGATTTCGGGAGCAGTTGGGAGGGCTTGGGGTTTAGGGGTTTAGGGTTTAGGGTTTAGGGTTTAGGGTTTAGGGTTTAGGGTTTAGGGTTTAGGGTTTAGGGTTTAGGGTTTAGGGTTTAGGGTTTAGGGTTTAGGGTTTAGGGTTTAGGGTTTAGGGCTTCGGGTTTAGGGTTTAGGGTTTAGGGTTTAGTGTTTAGGGTTTAAGGTTTAGGGTTTTTTGGGGGATTTCGGGGGTTCTGGTGGTGGTTGGGAGGGGCTTAGGGAAGCTTGGGAGGGCTAGGGGGGTTTGCGGGGGGCTTAGGGGGCTTAGGGTGGCTTAGATGTTAAGGCTCCTAAAGCCCCTTAGGGGCTGTAGGAGTTTTAGGGCTTGGGGGCTCTAACCCTAAACCCAAAACCTGAAAAAGTTTTGGGTGCTTGGGGCTTGGAGCTTAAGGTTTCCGTTCAGGTGTGTAGGGGGCAGCGTCCTGTGGGGCAAGAAAGCGGAAGCAAAAACGGCAATGGCCGGAAAGTCTGAGGGTCTCTGGGTAGTTACATGGTCCCTCCATATGGTCACTTACCTTGTTTTAAAGAGCTCTGAACTATGGGCCCCTGATATACAACGGGGCCTTAAACCCTAGACCCTAAACCCTAAGCCCTAAGCCCTAAACCTCAAGCCAAGCCATGGGCTACGCAACTTGTCCATTGCACGTGATCACCTTCAATCCAAAAGTCACTGGTGGTTTCCTGACACCTAGAACCCTGAAACCCAACCCCCCACCAAGCCTTTGGTATAGAGTATAGGGTATAGGGTATAGGGTATGGGGTTTAGGGTTTAGGGTTTAGGTTTAGGGTTTAGGGTCTAGGGTTTAGGGTCTAGGGTCTAGGGTTTAGGGTTAAGGTTTAGGGTTTAGGGTTTAAGGCTTTAGGGTTTCGGGTTTGAAAAGTACGTTGCAATAAAGGAAACTGAACCCCCAACCCCAGCTCGCTGCCTCTGAACTTTCACTGCGACCTCCTCGCCAGTCTTCAGCGTGGCTCGGTAAACCTGCGCGAAGCTTGCATCGAAACCAGGGCTTCAGGGTTTTGAGGTAGTTTGGGGTTTAGGGTTTAGGGTTTAGGGTTTAGGGTTTAGGGTTTAGGGTTTAGGGTTCCACCTTAAAGCACAAAGCAGGCCCCAAACGCTGATTCAGCCCTTGGAGGCCCCAGACCCCACTACCCTAAGCCCTAAAGCCCCCAAATTCCGATGTTTCCTCAAAACCAAGCTGAATTCTGCTCTCCTGCTGAGAAGGATCTTTGATGAGTTTCCCTAGTTGCTTTCAATCCCATCTCCCTTGCAACATGCACGGGGTGGTTTCACGCAAACTTCATGCTGGACTCCACCATGCAATGTCCGACCTAAAGCCCCCAAACCCCGAAAACCCTGGGGCTCAAACCCTAAACCCTAAACCCCAAACCCCAAACCCTGAATCCCAACCTCCGAACCCCCCTGAACCGCTCGCCTGGGCCAGCGAGGCTGCAGCGATAGGCTCCTGTGCTCTCTGAAAGACTCCAATACCCCGGAGTCTAGGTTTAGGGTTTAGGGTTTAGGGTTTAGGGTTTAGGGTTTAGGGTTTAGGGTTTAGGGTTTAGGGTTTAGGGTTTAGGGTTTAGGGTTTAGGGTTTAGGGTTTAGGGTTTAGGGTTTAGGTTAGGGGGTTTAGGGTTTAGGGTTTAGGGTTTAGGGTTTAGGGTTTAGGGTTTAGGGTTTAGGGTTTAGGGTTTAGGGTTTAGGGTTTAGGGTCCCTTTTTTGGGTACCCATTATGAGGCGGCACCCTTTACAAGGGATCCCAAACAAGGGACGCTGATTTAGAGAACTGCCCAAAGGCGCTTAGGGTTTTGGCGCAGTCTAGGGTCTAGGGTTTAAGGTTTAGGCGTTCAGGGGCTTTCTAAGTAAAGGTGCTTAGGGTTTGGGGGGTTGAGGGCTTGGGGGGCTTTAGGGTTTGGGGAGCCCCAAGTACCCTCGGGGTTCAGTTTCGTGTCCAGAGGTTTTGGGGGCGTTTCAGGGTTTCAGGGCTTTAGGGTTGGGATGTTCTCCCTTATGCTAACAGTCCTTAATAGGGATTATCGTAATACAAGAATCCCTACCAAGGACTACTAGAAAAAAGGGGGAACTTCCCAAGTTCCGGGCATAAGGCATGGGCTAGAGCGACCCTGGCATGATATAGGGCTTAGGGTTCAGGGTTTAGGGTTTAGGGTTTAGGGTTTAGGGTTTAGGGTTTAGGGTTAGGGTTTAGGGTTTGGGGTTTAAGGCCCCTGACTTAACGAAAACGCGCTGCCCACCAGTTGTAGAGTATCTCATCTTCGATCAGGTCATGTTCGAGCGCACTCCAAGTGCCAGTCTACACATCCAGTGCATAGCGCGGACCCAATTTCACACTTCGCCGTTTGGCCTCTTCCACAATATCGGCGCCATAGTCATTACGGCCAAGTAAACACTGGTGGTACAGGCAATGCGCCAATCGAGACATATTGACATCAGCAAGCAGAGCAATGCATTAAGCGCATCACAGTGTGGAGCTCCTTCAAAGCTTTGACAGCATGCGGCCATCGCTTTTCTTCAAATTGGTATCACCCCAGCAACCGATGATCCTGTGAACATGGCCTGGAGTAAGTTCCACATATGGAGCGAGTTCAGAGTCTTTGCACATACCAGGTGGTTTCTCATGCTCACGTATGGCTGCACGCACGTCATCAACATACAGACTACCATTCTCACACATGCGCAGCTCCTGCACTGACACATATTGAATATCTCGAACCTTGTTTAAAGGTTTAGGGATTTAGGGTGTATGGGTTTAGGGTTTAAGGATTTAAAAGGCCCCTAAACCCTAAACCCTAAACCCCAAACCCTAAACCTAAACCCTAAACCCTAGGCATAGGGCAGGTGACTTTTGGCCAAGGGGGCCTCGCTGAAGGAGCTGAAGAGCTCCGACACGGGCTGGCCAAGCTCCTGCCAGATAAGAGAGGGCCGGAATTGATTAGAATAGGGTTTAGGGTTTAGGGTTTAGGGTTTCGGGTTTAGGGTTTAGGATTTAGGGTGAATCTTTAGAATAATTAGCGTTTGGGGGGCCATTATAGCAAAATCATGTAGTGACCATAAGGGGATACTCTTAGTAATTATTCCGACCCCTATACTGCGGCCCCAGTTCAGCTGAGAACGGTGCAGGTTTAGGGGGTTCAGGGTTTGGGGTTTAGGGTTTAGGGTTCAGGGTTTTACAGTTTAGGGGTTCAGGGTTTAGAGTTAAGGGCTTAGCGCGTAGGGGATGCCCTAAACCCTAAAACCTAAAACCCTGCTAACCCCTCAACCCTAAAACCTAACCCCGAATCCCTAAACCCGAGGACTGGGTGACGTGGGGCTCTCATTGATTGCAGCTTCGGGGTTTCCGATTTGAGCCTTGGTTGTTTGGGGGGGTTTCGGACTCGGGTTTTGGGGCTTCTTCTTGGGTTTAGGGTTAGGGCTTAGGGCTTAGGGCTTAGGGTTTTGGGTTTAGGGTTCAGGGTTTAGGGTTTAGGGTTTCGGGTGTAAGGTTCACGGTTTAGGGTTTAAGGTTTAGGGTTTAGGGCCTGGGGTTTACTCAGGTTTCGGGAAAGTAGTTATAAAAAGGGAGAAAAGTACCCCACAATAGGGCTGGAGTGTTTAGGGTTTATGGCTCAAGGGTTGGTCTGCTGAGGCTGCTCAACATGGGTTCAGCATGAACTTCCCATGCGTATGCTTGGAGTCGCCTTCCCTCCCCCCCCCCCTCCCGACCTTCCCGATGCCTGAACGTATATGCCCGCCCCCGCCCATGTTTTCCCTAAACCCGAACCCCGACACCCTCAAACCCATGTTTACTTGTGAACCCTCAACCCTGAACCCTAAACCCTCAACCCTGAACCCTAAACCCGAAACTCTCAACCCCACGCTTACATGTGCTTGTGTTCGGGGTCGGGGCCTCCTCAATCACTGCCTTTGCTTCCTTGTTCGGGAAGGTCTCAATGTTATCCTGCAGCGGCTATTGGGGAAAAGGCTTTGGGGGCATAGGAGGTTTGGGGGGTTTTGGGGTTTAGAGGGGGTGTAGGGGGGTTAAGGGGGGGGGGGTTTAGGACTGCCCCCTCAGCTACAGCACCTCTCTGCAGCATGGCAAAATCACCACACACCGGGAGCGCTTTGCTGCTACGCTGCTACGCACTGCGAGATATTTTCCCCGCCATGGACTGAGACCGAGCCCGGCTCAAGACTGTAGAGTTGGGATGTTCCCCCTTATAGTAACAGCCCTTAATGGGGATTATAACCGGGGTACTATAATCATTCATCCCTATTCAGGACTGTTAGTCTTAGAGGGAACATCCCAACCGTAGAGACATGCGGTGATGTCACTTGCGTGTTGGTTTGCTGGGTGTGCTTTGCTGGTTTGGCTTTGTTGAGTTTGGTGCTTGCCCCCGTCTCAACCTTCTGCACGTGCGGGTTCACGCTACCTCTGGCCAAATTTGCTCACGCGACTGACGCGGAAAGGGATCCCACGGCCACCAAAGGCTGCCACATCCAACGGGCGCCCCTCACACACACTGATTGGGCTTGGTGAGGAATTGAGTTTGAACCCGGAACCCTCAACCCCAAACTCCCCTAAACCTGGATTCGGTGCCTGCAGCCCCCTAAACCCTCAACCCAACACTCCCCTTAAACCTGGATTCGGCGCCTGCAGCCGCGACAGCTCTTTCATGGTCTTCTCAGGCAACACATCCGGCCGAATGGACAGGACCTGCCCAAGCTTCACGAAGGTTGGTCCCAGCTCCTGAACAGAGCAGGGAACACACCCCTAAACCTTATAAAAAGAATGGGTTCAAGGGGTCTGTAAACATTCCTCCTACCCCAACACTTCGGTGTGCTTGAACGCGCAAATGGGGGGGGGGGTTGTTCGGAAGTTGTTTAGACATACCTAGGAAGCCTTCGACCTCCATCATGAACCCTACGTCCGAAACCTAACTAGTTTCCCCAACCCCAAAAGCCCTGAAACCCAATTTCAAAATGCACCCAGCCCTACACAGATTTACGGGCTTTAGGGGTTAAAGACATGCAGAACCCTAAACCCTCTACCCTGACCCCCTAAACCCCCTAAACCCCCTAAACCCCCTAAACCCCCTAAACCCCCTAAACCCCCTAAACCCCCTAAACCCCCTAAACCCCCTAAACCCCCTAAACCCTAAACCCTCAACCCCCTAAACCCCCTAAACCCCTAAACCCCAAACCCTAAAACCCTAAACCCTCGTTCCGGTGTGTTTAGAGTTTGCGGCGGTTGGCCCGGCTCCTGCAGGTTATTCACTGCCTGCCTAGCCAACTCCTCCTCGTCCTCCCACCTCAAATGGAGATGAAGGGCTGGAGTTCAAAGTCCCCTTAGGTCTTAGGTCTTAGGTCTTAGGGTCTTAGGTCTTAGGTCTTAGGTCTTAGGTCTTAGGTCTCAGGTCTTAGGTCATAGGTCTTAGGTCTTAGGTCTTCGGGATTAGGCTGTAGGGTCCCTAAAACCCCAAAGCATAAACCCCTGAACCCGGAGCCCGGGAGGCTAAGCCGAGATGCAGCCTGTTGTTGAGCACCGAGTAGAAGAATCTGGTGATGAAAGGCGTGGAAATCCTTCAGGCAGATGCTGGCTTCCGACATTAGCGGTACCTTCTTTTTTGTTGTTGTGTTTTGTTTGTTTTTTTTTTTTTTTTTTTTTTTTTTTTTGGGGGGGGGGGGGGTGTAGGGTTTAGGGTTGAAGGTTTAGGGCTAAGGGTTTAGGGCTAGGAATAAGAAGGGTGCGGTTTTCGACATGAGGGTACCTTGTTGAGGCCCCTTAATCCTAAGGGAATCCTACCATATTTTTAGGGTTTGGGGGTTCAGGCTTCCTGGTAGCCCCAGGGTTACCCTCTTGCCTTTCTTGGGTTCAAGGTTCGCTTGTAAAGTAGCCAACCCAAAACCGGGCACCCTCAGGGCTTACTCTCAAGCCTGGACCTCGAAACCCGAAACTCCTTCAAGTTCGGGGTTCAGAGTTCAGGTGTCAGGGTTCAGGGTTTAGGGTGTAGGGTTTAGGGTTTAGGGATTAGGGTTCAGGGTTTAGGGTTTAGGGTTCAGGGTTCAGGGTTTAGGGTGTAGGGTTTAGGGTTTAGGGTTCAGGGTTTAGGGTTCAGGGTTTGGGGTTTAGGGCCCCATCCCCCACCCCCAGAGGCCCAAACCCAAACCCAAACCCGGCCTAAGGAAACGGCTCCAGCGGTCCGCGAGCTCACCAGGCTTCGTGTCCTTCGACGGTTCTGCGGGCGCGGTTCAGGGTTCAGGGTTCAGTAGGGATTAAGGCTTATGCTCCCCCACTTCCTGCTCAGCAGCTGAAGATGCTAGAGCTCTGAGGAATGGAGGCCTCCGAGGTGCTTCTGAAACCTTGCACCCCTAACACTTAACCCGAAACAGGAAGCGGCGGATACACAAACACAAAAAATGCTCAACACTTATTTGTTTAGCATTATCAATATCCAAACATGGGAAATTATCACCCATGCTGTCACTTGTATCACCTTTCGATCCAAAACGAGGCAATCCTAAATCAAGTTGACCATAATCATTGTGTCCCCAACATTTTTTGTTGTTGTTTCCATTTACGGCACAATTAAATAAACCACCACCTGCCAATTGTGTAGCAGTAAATGAATCTACCAATTTAAGTTCTCACCCATTGCTTAAATTGTATGTAGGGTTGGAAGTTGGTCACAGTGTCTAGTTACGATTTCTCTCATTACATACACCATATATGAGTTATATGATCCATACCTAGATGTTTTATTGATGTTTTGTTGCTATTTTACGTTGCTGTTGCAACCTAAACCCTAAATCCTGCAATCAGAATAACCTGAGTGTTGCTGGCTCACAAGCCAAAATGCCACACAGAGAATCCCCTGAACCCTCAACCTTAAACCGGTTGCTTCGAAGGGGCCATGGAGGGGTCGCACGCCTTTAAGCCTTAAAGCGTGGAAGCCCAAGGAAAACCCTCAGAAGCGGATTTAGGGTTTAGGGTTTAGGATTTAGGGTTTAAAACAAAACACAAACCTACGCCCTGTAAACCAAAGAGACCCCGTTTTCCCTGCAAGCCCCGCAAACCCTCCACCTATAAAGCCTACAAACCATGCAAACCCTATAAACACAATACCCAGAGCCCTAAACCGTAACCCTAAAACCTTTTAAACCCTAAACCACACACACACACACACACACACACACACCCTCTGCTTTGAGCCGAGGCTCCCAGAACTTCGCGATGCCTGGCGGGTTTGGGGCCTATGGACTTGGGGCTTGTGGCTGATCGCATCTAGGGTTTGCAGCTTGGCTGCTTAGGGGTTTATGGGGGTTTAGGGGTTTAAGGGTCGATTCCAGAGTTTAGGGGCTTGTAGGGTTTAGGGGTTTAAGGGGTTTACGGGTTGGGATTTGGTGTTATCACGGTATTCATAACAAATTCAGAGGTTTGAGTAGTTTAGGGGGTGTATTTTGGGGAACTCAGGGGCTTTTTAGGGCTTAGAGATATGTAGAACCCTACACCGCGAACCCTATACCCTGAACCCCTAAACCCTAAACGTTGTGGGTTTCAAACCCCCCCTGCACCTCAAAAACCCTAAACCCTAAACCCTAAACCCTAAACCCTAAACCCTAAACCCCAAAACTCTGGGCGGGCTGGCGCTCCACGGAGTACACCAGGGGTAGGCCATCGGCATCGACGGCGTCCACGGCGTTGTGGCCCTCGGCTGCGGCCTGGCGGGCTTGGGAATTAGGGTCTAAGGTTTAGGGTTTTAGGGCATTTAGGGTTTTAGGGGTTTAGGGTTTAGGGATTTAAGGTTTAGGGTTTAGGGTTTAGGGTTTAGGGATTTGGGGTTTAGGGCGTAAGGCTTAGGACTTCCATGCACCTGTATTGCGTATACTTCTCCCCTAGAGCTACTCTCTCAGAACCTCCAAGCCCGAAACCCTAAACTCTTAATCACCCTAAGCACGATGCATTACATTTAAGGCCCCAGGTTATACTATACGGTCAGTTCTCAAAATTCTGGTCCCTTTTTGGAATGTAAATAACAGGGGCCGCCTTATGCACTAAGGAACCACAAAGGAACCACATGTAGAGAAATGACCATATAGTAAGGCTCGCCCCCGGATGCCCTTAAAATATATACTATACGAAAGTAGGGGGTAGCTTATTTGGGGTCCTCATTATAAGGGGATCCTACTATTGGGGGGTCTATATTAGGGGGTCTTGATCCTCGAAAACCCTAAACCCTAAACCCTAAACCCTAAACCCTAAACCCCAAACCCTAAACCCTAAACCCTAAACACTAAACACTAGACCATGATGGTCCCTTTGGCAGCCCGAGACGGTGGGCCGCGGCCTGCTGGGAGACGAAGGACCGGCGGTTGCGCTCCTCGGAAAAGTTGGAGAACCTTAGCGAAGAAAGTTTAGGGTTTAGGGTTTAGGGCTTAGGGCTTAGGGTTTAGGGTTTAGGGTAAACCCTAAACCCCAAAGTCTTTGCACTCAAAAACAATCTGGAACCCAAACTCAACAACCTGGAAGAAACGCCTCAAAGGCCTGACCCTACTTTGAACAGTTGCATCGAACCCTAGACCCTGAAGCCAAAACTTTACAGCCCTGGACCCTAAGGCCCTAAGCGTTCAAGCACACGCCCTAAACCCTAAAGCAAGAAGCCTAAACCCTGGGCCCTAAACACCCGGAACTTTAAAGCCCTAAACCGTAAGCTTTACCATAGGCCCTGAACCAAAAAGCCTAAACCCTCGCCCCTGAAAACCCAAAAATCCCACCCCCCCCCCCCGTGCCCTAAACCCTAAACCCTAACCCTTCACCCAAAAAAAGGCCCTGCGCTGCTGCCCACGGTGCTCCGTCGGACTCGACCTGGCGCTACGCAGCGTTCGGGGGCTCGAAAGGGTTGTTTAAGCGTCGCGCTTGGGATTTGGGGCTTAGGGTTTAGGGTTTAGGGTTTAGGGCTTAGGGCTGAGGGCTGAGGGCTGAGGGCTGAGGGTTGAGGGTTGAGGGTTGAGGGTTGAGGGTTGAGGGTTGAGGGTTGAGGGTTTAGGGTTTAGGGTTTAAACCCTAAACCATAAATCCGAAACCCTAAACCCTAAACCCCAAAACGGAGGTTTGGGACAGAGGCTTTCTGAAAAATGAACCCTAAACCCTAAAACTCTAAACCCCAAACACTGAACCCCAAACCCAAAACCCAGTTCTTCGACCTAGGGTCTACTTCTACAAAGTTATCAAGGAACTTGTTGCCTTCTATCTCTCAATATTGGGAACTTGTGTTTGCCCTCTAGGGGTTTGTAGAGTTGCATTCTGTCTTCCTTTAAGGGATCATAAAGGGACCCTGTTTCCCTCATTCCCACTCAACACTTCGAGTCCATCAGGATCCGAAACTACCCCTAAACCCACATGTGTCACAAATACCCTAAGTACCAAATACCCAAAAGAAATGCCCAAATACCCCAGAATCTGTTCTTTCAGGGCAGGGGGGGAGGGTGGGTGGGTCCTCCTCTGAAGTGGTTTGGGGCGCACAAAGGCCGAAGCCATACATTCTTCGGCAGCTCCTACTATCTTCCTACTTGCCCTAAGCCCTAATCCTAGATAGCCCTGAGCCCCCCAAACCCTACTTATACTAACAGTCCTTCACAGGGATGAGTGGTACGCCACGATTCTGATCCCAATCAAGGACGGTTAGACAAAGGGGGAACATCTAAACCCTAAACCCTAAACCCTAAACCCTAAACCCTAAACCCTAAACCCTAAACCCTAAACCCTAAACCCTAAACCCTAACCCGAAACCCTATTCAGGACTGTTAGTATAGGGGGAACCTCACAATCTTCCTCTCTTGATCTCGGGAGCCAAGCGGCGTCTGCGACTTCACTGCCTCTTCCAGCAGCTTGGCTCCGGCCTGGGGGTTTTGGGGGTTTAGGGTTTGGGGTTTGGGGTTTGGGGTTTAGGGTTTAGGGTTTAGGGTTTAGGGTTTAGGGTTTAGGGTTTAGGGTTTAGGGCATAAGGTATAGGGTATAGGGTTCACGGGTTAGGGCATACTTCCTACAGTTGTGCGGCAAAGAGTACGTAATGAATATACTACTAAACTATGAGTTAGTGTTTCAGATATAGAATCGGGAGGACGGGTCCACATTTAAGGTCATTGTTCTCCTGACTAAGGTTTGAATAGGGTTTGCTGTGATTTGACGCAGAAGCTGTGAGGTTCAGTCTGCAAAATACCGTCGAATGCATCGCAGCTCACAAGCGGGAATTTCGCCAAATTAGAGTCCCTTTTGCGGGGGTCCTTTTTGGTAAGGTGCCGTACTATGTTTAGGACCCAAAAAGAGACCCTCATTCAGAGACCTACCCAAGTGCAACTCTGGCCCGAGTGCGGAGGGCCATCAAACACCTTCTTCTCCCCACCCCACGCTGTCCGGGATGGTTTGGGCCAAAATGCAAGCCCCGTCTCTTCTGGTAACCCTGAAAAAAACCCTGCACAAACCGTGAACAACCCTCTAAACCCTAAACTCTAAGCCCCAAACCCTAAACCCTAAACTCTAAACCCAACCCCAAACCCTGAACGCTAAACCTGAATTGAAAACATAAACGAAGCCCCAGAGCCTCGAGGGTCGAGCGCTCGAAGACGGAGGCTGGGGCGGGACTCGCCCTCAGAACCTTTTTTTAGGGTTTAGGGTTTAGGGTTTAGGTTTAGGGCTAAGGATGTGGAGTTTAAGGCTCAGGGATAAGGATTTGGGGTTTAGGGATTAGGCTTTAGGGTTTAGGGTTTAGGGCTAGGTTTGGGGTTTAGGGTTCAGGGCTTGGGGGTTTGGTGTTTCGGGTTTGGGGCTTGGGGTTTATTGTCAGGGGGTTTGGGGTTTGGGGGTTGGGGGTTGGGGGTTGGAGTTGAGTGTGCTGTTGGTTGCATTTGGGGCTTAGGACACTAGGCTTGACATGTCAGGTGAGCTTCCACAGGTTATGTATTGGGGGCGGGGCGTTGGAGTCCAGGACTTAGGGTAAGAGAAAAGGGTTTAGGGGTTTACTCATGGGTTTTTGAGATACTACACAATACACCCACACCGTCAGAGCAACAGCTCTCCCAAACCCCAAACCCTTTTTCAACCCTAAACCGTAAACCCTGAACCCTAAACCCGAAACCCTAAACCCTAAACCCTAAACCCTAGACCCTAAACCCTAAACCCTTAACCCTGAACCCTGAACCCTGAACCCTGAACCCTGCGCCCCAGGCACGACATAGTGGCGGTCCCTTCCCTTTCGCCGCCGCGACAGAGGCGCCAGAGCGAGGAAGAGGGCGCCCGTGGCTGGGAGAACAGCGCTTCCTGGCAGGGTTCAGGGTTTAGGGCTTAGGGTTCAGGGTTTAGGGTTTCGGGGTTTAGGCATTAGGATTTTCGGGGCTTAGGGGTTAGGATTTTCGGACTGTCGGGGTTTAAGGTTTAGGGTTGAGAGCTTCACCGGTGTTTTTTGAGGCGTTTTGGAGCTTTGAGGCTCAGGGTTCTGGGGTCTCAGTGTTTCGGGGGGGTGTAGGGATTTAGAGGCTTCAAGCCCAAAACCCTACACCCTAACCCGAAACCCAAAACTTGGTGGGGGCGGTTTGGTGGGGGGGGCGCTAAACAAACCCCAAACCCTAAACCCCAAACCCTAAATCCTAAACCCTAAACCCCAAGACCCAAAACCCCCAAAACCTAAACCCTAAACCCCAAACCCTTAACCCCAAATCCTAACCCCCTAAACCCCGAAATCGTGAACCCCCGGGTCGAGAGCTTGATGGGCCTTTGAGCTTCTGGCGCGGCTTTGGGGACGTTTGGGCCTTTGAGATTGGGATGGTGGGTGCGGTCTTGCGCCCATCGAAATCCAGGTATAGGGTTTAGGGTTTAGGGTTTAGGGTTTAGGGTTTAGGATTTAGGATTTAGGGTTTGGGGTTTGGGGTTTGGGGTTTAGGGTTTGGGGTTTAGGATCTACGAAACAGGCCCTCGGCCTCCGAAGGGGGGCCCGGCGGGGGACCCTCGCACGCCGCGGGCGCCGGCGGCCGGGGCGGCGGGTGCAGCTGCGGTCGCAGCTGCGGTGGTGGGGGCTGGGGCAGCGCGCAGCGCCATAGCAGCGAAGGGGACTTCGTCACACCCACGTAAGCTATCGTAGGATCATGGTGAAGGCTCCAGCCTCTCCCTGCTAGAAGCTGGCGACTGCTGGCTCACATGTAAGACGATCTACTTACCATCTGCCTGTCAATCTACTTAGCCTACAATGTCGTGGGTTGCTGAAGCCAACGTCCAAGGCGAAAGGCATGGCAGGCCCAGCACAGCAAGCATTCTCCCGGCTAGGGGGCCCTTAAGCAGGCACCATGAGCTCAGGATGTCAGGCTACGTCTTGTCACGCTGGGGCGTCAGCATGCGAGGCCGCGTAGCGAGCGGGCACCTGACAAGGGTTTAGGCGGTTTAGGGTTTAGGTTTTAGGGTTTAGGGTTTAGGGTTTAGGGTTTAAGGTTTAGGGTTTAGGGTTCAGGGCTTAGGGTTTAGGGTTTAGGGTTTAGGGTTTAGGGTTTAGGGTTTAGGGTTTGGGGTCTAGGGTTTAGGGCGGAGCCTGACGTCACAGGCCATTCCTAACCAGGCCCTGACGCGCTCAAACCCCAAGCGCCCCAACGCCAAAGCCTCACGGCAGAAGCCCAACGCCGCAACGCCGCGGCAAGGGCCACGAGACTGTGAGCCAACAGCTTGGAGAGCAGAAACCTGCATAGATTAGGGTTTAGGGCTTAGGGTTGAGGGGCTGGGGATCTGGGTCTTCGGACCTTGGGGATCACGGGCTGAACGCGTCGCCAGTGCTTACGTAACTGCCATGGTGGAGAATGCTACTTGCCTGAGACACGCGCATGTGCACTTCGCAACCATGTGAAGCGTATTGATTTTCTTACTCATATTCCATGCACACAGGCAGACATGCTGCGGGCGACATGCTGCTCCAACATCCGTCGTCCAAACGAAGTCGATGGCGCTGACGACGATGGACGAGAGCGAGGACGAGGACGAGGACGAGGACCAGGATGTGGACTACGACGAAGACTAGGACGAGGACGACGACTGCGACGATTACGAGGAGGTGCAGGACACGGACGAGGATGATGATCATCATCATCTTCATGGTTATGATCCTGATGATGGCCATGAGCCTGATGATGATCATCACGGTGAGCATGATGATGATCATAGCCATGCATGATGACCATCATGATGACGATGATGATGACGATGATGATGATGATGACGATGACCATCATGATGACGATGATGATGATGATGATGACGATGATGATGACGAGGATGATTATGATGATGACGATGATGATGATGATGATGATGATTTGTGGTATGGCTTCGCTGAGATGCTCCGACTGCTTTTGCTCCGTGGGCGGCGTCACTCGCAAGCGCAAAAGGGGGCATGGTGAAGTTGCACGAATCTGCACGCTTCAGCCGAACGTTGGTCGCTCTGTCATTCCATCTTGTGCAATCTCCGGTTCTTCGGTCACTAAACTGTGGATACTATGGGGTCGACGTGCCTAGCACGTGCCACATCCTGAATGTCTTGACAGCCCTTGTCAGGATCCCATTGCAAGACTGCACAAGCCAAAGCAGTTCTCTCACTTGTTCGTGAGTCGAACGGAAAAATGTCGACAACGATGCTTGACAATGTTACGTCAGAGAGAACGCAGTACCGCAACGCAGGCAGGAGCATCCGTCCTTGCTGCGGTACGCTTGGAGCTCTTTCTCTGACATCATTGGGCCACCCGAGTGACTTTCAACCACCATTGCACTCCATCTTGCGCAATCTCCCTTTGCAGAGCTTGCGCCGGGGTCGATGTGTGTTCCCTCACTTCGTGAGTCTGGATCTTGCCACTGCGAAAGCAAAACCCCCTAAGGCCTTGCGGAGTGGACAAATATGCTCTGGGCTGAGCTCACTTGCAGGTTCATGGTACCTATGAACCAATTATGACTGCACTTATAACCCACTTATCAGCCCCTTAAGTGCTACAGTATGGGTATAAGTACAGTTATAAGTGCTGTTGTAGTTGATTGATAAGTACCATGAAACTCCAAGCAGGGCTTGACACCCGGTCCCAAGTCAGATTCTTCAGCTTTGTTGAGAGAAAAGTGTTTGGGGCCTGAAAACCAAAGCAAGCGCAAGAGTACTGCAGCACATGTCAAGCAGCACTTCTCATTCAGCGTCTGTCGCCCTCTGGGGATTAAGGAGCCCCCAAAAAAGGTACCCGAAACCCTAAACCCTAAACCCTAAACCCCAAACCCAAAGAGGGTACCCCTATCTTCGGAATTCCCCCTTCTCTCAGGCCACGGTGGTTCGGAGACTTTGACCCTGCGCCACGCCGTCCGCCTCTTCCGGCCTGGAGGCCGCTTTGGCATCATGGGAGCCACCTTGGCCGCGCCCGAAACCCTAAACCCTAAACCCTAAACCCGAAACCCTAAACCCTAAACCCTAGACCCTAACCCTAAACCCTAGCCGAAACCCTAAACCCCTGCAGTCTGGGAGCTGTTGGTATGTGAGGGCCTGCTTTGAGCTTCAGCGTAGGGCCCCTAAACCCTGAACCCTTGAATACTTCAAGACTGCTTAGCTGGCAAGGACCGTCTCCAAGAGCAGGACAACTGTGCCCTAGAATTTAGGGTTTAGGGTTTAGGGTTTGGGGTTTAGGGTTTAGGGTTTAGGGTTTAGGGTTTAGGGTTTAGGGTTTAGGGTTTAGGGCTCAGGGCGTGCTTCCGGCTCCCAAGTCAGATTCATCTACAAGCAGGACTTCTCATTCAGTGCCCGCCGCCTTCTTTCAGGCCACAGTGGTTCGCAAACTTCTGCGCCGCCAAGAGCAGGTCAATCTTCTTGCACATGTGCTGGTTCGAACTCTCCATCTTGGTCAGCATCTCGGTCAGCATCTCCTGTGGGGGTACTTCGGGGGCTGAACGTCCCGAAACCCGACACACTAAACCCCAAACCCTAAACCCTAATTCCTAAACCCTAAACCCTAAACCCAAAACCCTAAACCCTAAACCCTAAACCTTAAACCCTGAACCCTAAACCCTAAACCCTAAACCCTAAACCCTAAACCCTAAACCCTAAACCCTAAACCCTAAACCCTAACCCTAAACCCTAAAGTGTGGGTTTCGAGTTCGATTTCATATGGGCCAAAAAGCCTTCGGTGGCGTGAAGAGGAGGCGGGGAGAGTCCCTCTGCCGGCATGAAACCCCAGATGGAACCGTGCTTTGCCACGTGGCGGACGAATTGGAGATGTCCGAAGATAGGGGTACCCCCCATATACCCCAAACGTCTTCTAAAATAACCCCAAAATGGGTACCCCTGTTTTCGGAAACCCCCGAATCTATCCAAGTTTGGCTTCGTGTGGGGTTTCACTCTCTCAAGTGCAACCAACTTTCTCCCTGGATCAGTTCTTGACTTGAACCCTAAACCCTCAATTGCAGCGGTCCTTGGCGTACACTAAAGCCACTGCCTGTGCCTACTGAGGAAAGCAGCAAAAGCTGAACAAGGAAAAACAACAACAGTCCTTCTGCTCCTTGCACTGCTTCTCCAGACTTTGCATCTTCTCCTCGACACACACACACACACCCCCCCCCCCCAGGGTCAAACCTTAAACCCAAAGATCTAAAAACCTAAACCCTAAACCCTCTACGGCGTGGCGGTCTTTGGGGATCCGATTTGGGGGGGGGAGGGGGGGGCTTTGGTCGCTTTGCTTTGGGGAAGCTATTCAACCCTACATAATAGGGATTCTTGTACCCCTATTCAAAATCCCTGTGAAGTTAGTTTACGAGAGAACATCCCAAGGCAAATTACTTCACTTGCTTTACTAAAGGGTAGATGAAAATAGGGGCCTTAATAATTCGAACAGGGTTTTGGAGGTCATTTTAGTAAAAATACAAAGGGGAATATGATTAGCAATTATTCCGACACCTATAGTAGTCCCCTCACTACTGGTTGCTGGTAAGCTCGGTTTTCCCTTAAGGGGGATGCTATAAGGCTTAGGGCTTAGGGTTTAGGATTGTAGGGTTTAGGATCTTAGGGTTAAGGGGTTTAGGGTTAGGGTTTGGAGTTTAAGAGTTTTGGGTTTTGGGGTAAACCCTAAACCAAACCCTAAACCCTAAACCCTAAACCCTAAACCCTAAACCCCAAACCCTAAACCCTAAACCCTTTCCCAGCTCCCTAGACGGTCCTTGAGGTCGCTGCGCATGCCTCGCAGCTCATCCATGCCTGGCTCCTTCCGGACCTCGGCTAGGCGCAGGCGAGAGCTCATGGGAGCTCCAACGTTCCCACCACACCCTGATATCCCCAATACCCCTAACATCCCAAGTATCCCTACTATCCCGAATATCCCGAATATCCCTAAAATCCCTACAGCCTAAACTCTAAACCCTCAACCCTGAACCCTTTCTTGTGTTCTGATTTTATGTCTACGAGCGATCTGAGTCAAGGTTCGGGCAATGCCGCAGTGGTACTGAAAGCTTTGGCTCAAGCGCCTTTGGAAAGTGTTGCGAAGGGTCTTTCCACGGACTGCTGATGATTCATGGAAGCTTCTCAAACCCAATTGGCGTTGAACTTCATTGGTTTTGAAGCGGGATGCGAGGCCGACAAGAGGACCGCCGCATTTTGAACACGGCATGAACGCGCACAGCTTTCCCTCGAGTCCTTCGCTGGATGCGGCGTGTCATCGCTTTTCCCAAGACTGGCATTTCTCTCGGTCGAAACAGCGTGTCGCCATCGCCATGTTCGAAGCTGTCAGCGCTAGCGGATCTTCGTATCTCCAAAGTGGCAGAGGTCTCGTGTCGTAGTCGTCGTCCCCGAAGACGCGAGCCAAAATTTCGTCGTTTCTTCTGGACCCTCGAAATGTCAAAGTATAGCTGCCCTGATGATGATTGATGATTGATGATTGATGATTGATGATTGATGATTGATGATTGATGATTGATGATTGATGATTGATGATTGATGATTGATGATTGATGATTGATGATTGATAATGATGATGATGATGATGATGGTGGTGGCGGCAGTGGTGATGAGATTCAATGATGGTGATGGTGAAGCCCATGACGGACTTTCATTGTAAGGCTTAGGGTTTGGGACTGGAGGTTGAGGCAACTGAGGGTTTGCGCCCCAACGGGATTGGGCTAAACCCGAAACCCTAAACCCTAAACCCTCAACCCTAAACCCTAAACCCTAAACCCCAGGGGGGCGGGGTGGGATCGCAAGGCCAAGAGTTGCCCAGGGGCCAGCGCGAAGATCTCGCACTCGTCGGCGAAGTGATCCCCGAAGAGGCCGAAGATGCTGAGGTTGATGAAGTAGCGGAGGCCTTGAGGGGTTAGGGTTTAGGGTTTGGGGTTTAAGGTTTTGGGCTTAGGGTTTAGGGTTTAGGGTTTATGGCTTAGGGGGAATGATTACTCATAAGATTCCGTTCTGGTCCTTTGTAATTCTACTACAATGACCCACTAAATCCTATTCTCATTATTGCGTCCCCTGTCTTATTCCGGGCTTCAGGACTTAGCACGTGGACCTCAGCCTTGATCCCTCCACTCCCCGTACATCCTAGACTCCGCCGTGTGGTTTAAAGACTTTCGCGCTCAGGCAGCGGCCTTTAACCTGGCCGCCAATCATCTTCAGGAGCAGGCAGGAGACCGCAAAGACCAGTAGACTCAGTAGACTTACCAGCGATGCAGGCAGCAGGAACAAAAACATGACCGGGATGACAAGGCGACGGCAGAGAGCATTCTTAATCGGTTGCTCCAGTGCGCGCTGCATCGAACGTTGAAAGATGTTCTGCTGGTGGTAGGAGATGTCTTTTGAGTCTCTTGGATGTAGAGGCTGCATGATCGGCCAAAGAAAGATCAGCGCCTTCTCGCCCAGCCAGCATGGTGACAAAAATGGCCTGGACTGCATGTCCGAGCAGCCGCAGTTTTCTTGGTGTCCAGGACGCAGGTCCATTACCATGCGGTGGAGCCAGTTAGCCATCCTCACCCAAGGTCTGCGTTGCTGTTCCAGCAACATGCGTGCCCTGGCCTGCACGAACAGCACTTGCGCCCGATCCTGGTGAATCTCGTAGTTTTGGCCCAGAATACCAATCAACAAGTTCATGAGCAGCACTGCAACGCCCACGCCTGTGCAGAAGAAACAGAGCTGAAGGTACATGTACGTGAGAGTGCCAAGCTCTCGGGGATCAGGGTCGTTGGGCTCCCACGCACCAGTGCCATTCTCAGTGCCATTCTCCGCGTAGGTGTAGGTTGGGTCTTGGCCCTGGTATTCAAACATGTCGAAATCCCCGAAGATCGCAAGCCTGACTGTGTGGGTGAAGGCGGCATAGACTGGGAAAGGGTCGTCTCCTCGGGCATTGAGGATGACGTATGCATGGGTGGAAGCAGCAACACAAACGGAGGTGACAAAGAAGAAGGCCCCAGTGTCTCGGACTGCTGATAGGATGGGCAGGAGATAGGGCCCCAGCCATCGCTCGCCTCGCAGGCTATACCCTAGCCGGAGCCAGTACATGGCACAAAACCATGGCAAGAAAAGCTGGTCCAACTCCCGATCACCACAGCGATCCATCTGCACAAAGATGGCAGCATAGCCCGTGACAAGGAAAACCAAATCAGCAACCGTCTCCAGGCTTGGAGCAGGAGTGTCTACCTCACATTCCACCGGACGAAGCTTCCCTCCTATGTGCTCCTCCTTCTGACCTTCCTGGACTCCCTGCTGCCAGCCCATGTACTGGCTCACGCGAAACCAAACGAAGGACCACACCTGCGCCAGCCATTCAATCGCCTCCTTCCCTTGGATGACCGTCACCGTCCACAGTGCAGGCCTCACAATAACCGTGTTCCGAAAAAGCCACAGCTTCCAGTAAAGAGGCTCGGGCAAAAGTATAGTAACTTTTTGAGGCGTAACTTAAGGACTACAAGGCCTAGGGGCCAGGCGCGGTTAGAAGATCTGGACTCAAGTCCTAAGGCGCCGGCTGTATCTCCATGTCTCCATAGCGACATCTCCAGGTGACCAAGCACAAGCAAGCCAAAGCCACCATGCACAGGAAGCTATCCAGGGCAGTGCCCGCTCGCAGCTGCAGCCACGCTGCAGCCGTGAGGGCTTCCACGGCATCCGTGGCCAGGGTCTCCTCATTGGCGGTCTCGGCTACTGCCGCCAGCACCATTGGTTCGCACGCCAACGGCGCAGGGATCCTCATCTTTCGCAATGACGTCTGAACCTCGGGGGCATAGAGCATGTTCTGGAACTTCAAGTTGAAAGAGTCGATGTCCGACCGCTCGGTCTCCTTGTCCGCGCTCTTGAGCAGCGACGTACGTTTGGACTTTTGTTGGGGGTCGTTCAGCTTCAGCAAGGCCTTTTGTGCCTCGGTTGTCGGCGCACTCTGCTCTAAGTGCTCGGATTGTGGCCTCAGGGCCATTACGGGTTCTTCTTCGTGGCCTTCCTGCAGAAACAGCATGTCACACCTCAAAGGCAGCTGAAGGCCGAGCCACCCGGCGAGCCTCGCAGTCGTAACTCCCGAGGATAGTGCGCATGCGCTCCCGCAATCTCTCAGAGCGGCACTCTTCAACCTGGCGAACTCCGCAGGTGCTGCCAGGTGCTTCGGTTCACAGACAACGGACATCTTCAAATCACGAAGCCCTCCGCGCCCTCCCGCTTTTTAAAGCAGCTTTACGGCTGAGGGTTGAGGCTTCTTCTACACCTCTGAGGAGACCCCCCAGCGCTGCTTTGATTCTGACATCGTACACTTCTCCTTTCCCCCCATCCTGCCGCGGTTCAGGAGGGCGCACCACTTGAGTTCGCCTGTGTTGGAGCGGTGACGCAGGCCCTTCCCCATTCCTCATCTTGCCCTCCCATCTTTCCCTCGGCGGCGCGCGGGCGCGCCTGCGCACGACACCTCGTCCAAGGACTGGCTACGTATTGTTCTCTGCCACCGTCTGCTCTGTCGCTTCAGTCCCTCCCTCTCTATCTCTCCCTCTCTCTCTCTCTCTCCCTCTCTCTCTCGCTCTCTCTCCCTCACCGTAATCCCTAGACCCGTCTTCGCTGCGCCTCCGGGGCCCTCCCGCGCCACACTCATGACGAAAGAACTCCTTCCTTGCTCCTCACATGCGCCTCATTCCTGGTGCGCTTTCGTTCTAAGGGCGTATTGGGTTCTAGTCCTTCGAAAAACTGTCTTCCTCTTTTCCTTACTGCGCGTCACACACACACACACACACACCAGCAACAGAGGGAGCTTTGCTGGCCTCTTTCAGCAGACCACCAACCATCACGGTGAAGTGAGCCCCCTCACCGCGCAGCAGAGCGACGAGCAGGCGCTTGATTCGCTTCTCGCGTGCTGTGGCCTGATGCTTGGAACATCCATTGCTACGCGGAAGGGAAGGGAAGGGAAGAGCCCCCTTAACCCTAAACCCCGAGCTCCTCTGCCACTGGCTCCAAGTCCACCTCAGGGTCGATGTCCACCTCGCGGTTGAACAAACTTCCCTTACCAGAGGTGTCCTCGATGTAGTACCGCCCGGCAGCAACCTCCGTCCCACGCCTCACTTTGACTTCGGAGCTGCCGCCGAGGTTGAGTCTCTCCGCTGCCTCGTCGGTAAGACATCGTCCCTCCACGTCCACATCTTGGAGCCACGTCTCATATGCCGCTGCCAGAACTTCGGACGATACTTCAGCGTTCTTAGCCGCTGTGGCTTTGGCCTGCGAGTCCGCGTGGGGAGCCACGGCTTCTGCTGTTGTTGCGACGTCAGCGTCGGAAGCCGCGGTGCCTTTGGCTCCGCCACTGTCGACGGACACGATTTGCACTCTCACCATTTTCATGTCTTTGGCCTGTTGCGCTTTCGCTTCTGTGGGCTGCGGATCCGTGCGGGAATCCGCGTTACCGTGAGCCGAGCCATCGGCTCCTGCTTCCGCCGTCGGCCCGCTCTCATCTTTGCCCGGCAGATCCGCCGTGTGGGAAGCCGTGTCTGCCTCCGCTGCCGGCCCCTTCGCAGCTTTGTCCTGCGGATCCGTGTGGGAAGCCACGTTGCTGCGATCCCAGCCGGCGGATGCTGCTTCGGTGTCTTCGGCCCGCAGATCCTCCGAGGCCTCAGTCAAGAGCGTGTCGGCCTTGCTTTTGGAGCTGCGGGCCTCCTGACATTTGTCCTTGGATAGCTCGGCGAGTTTTGGGGGTTTTGGGGCTTTTTGGGCTTTTGGGCTTTTGGGCTTTTGGGCTTTTGGGCGTTAGGGTTTAGGGTTTAGGGTTTCGGGTTTAGGGTTTAGGGTTGAGGGTTTAGGGTTGAGGGTTTAGGGTTTAGGGTTTAGGATTGATTTTTGTTTTTTTTCTTGGGGGGGGGTTTAGACTTGCAGGTTACATGCTTTGGCTTCGAGGGCTTGTAGAGGTTCAGAGTTTCTAGGTTTAGGGTTTAGGAGCCTAGGGCTCTTCAAAAGCCCCCCAAGGAAATACAGAACCTCGTAACCTCTAAACCCCTAGATCTCCAAACCCCGTAACCTCTAAACCCTATTTAAACCCTCTCTACATACATGCTTGAAGTGCTTAAAAGACGAAGCAACCTTAAGAACCCCAACGAGCCCCGCGAAGCCGTTGCAAGCCTCCTGGGAACTCCCAAGCACCCTAAACCCTAAACCCTAAACCCTAAACCCTAAACCCACCGCCGCTCCCGAGCATGCATGCCAGGCATCCTCTTTCACGATCGCTGTGCCTCGTCCCTGCACGGTCAACACCGACGACTTAGAGGGGTCTAGGGTTTAGGGTTTAGGGCTTAGGGTTTGGGGTTTGGGGTTTAGGGTTTAGGGTAGGGTCTAGGGTTTAGGGTTTGGGGTTAGCCCTTGTTGAATCCTGAGATCCTCAAACCCCCAGATCCTAACCCGCCAAAAACTTCAACTCCACATCTCCGCAGTCCGGATAAACAACCCTCCTAAGATACACACACCATGAGAGCTCTGATGATCAACTAAGAGCCTCCAACGCCAAGTCTTCGAACCCTTGCCCCCCGGAGCATTACAACGCCGAAGCTCAGGTCATGCTGCGACTCTGAGGGTTTCGGGTTTAGGGTATAGGGTTTAGGGTTTAGGGTTTCGGGTTTAGGGTTTGGGGCTTAGGGCTCAGGGTTTAGGGCCCCTTTACAGGGGCTTCTTTCTATTTGCGGATAGACAGGGGGCACCCCCTTTTTTGGGAAACACCCCTAATATGGTGCATTGTGAACATCAGCAAAGAAACAGGGGATGTAGTGTCCAGGATTTGGGGGGCACTAAGCTGCCTTCACTTCTTCATGCAAAAACACACCTTGGTGCACTTCCTCACTGCCTGAAACATGCACCAAGCGCTAACCCTTAAACCCCAAAACCGTCGGAAGGGTTGAGGGTTCAGGGTTCAGGGTTCAGGGTTTAGGGTTCAGGGTTCAGGGTTCAGGGTTCAGGGTTCAGGGTTCAGGGTTCAGGGTTGAGGGTTGAGGGTTTAGGGTTTAGGGTTTAGGGTTTAGGGTTGAGGGTTGAGGGTTTAGGGTTTAGGGTTTAGGCTTGGGGTTGAGGGTTCGAGGGGGTTTGTGTAGGGATGCAGGGGGGGCTGCCGGGTGCGGGATATGGGGGGCAGTCCAGGAAGCTGCCTGCGCTTCTTCTTGCAAAAAACACGCTCTGATGGGCGTCCTCACTGCCTGAAACATGCACCAACCCCTAAAACTTAAAGACAAAACCCTCAGAAGGGTTGAGGATTTAGGGTTCAGTGTTCAGGGTTCAGGGTTCAGTGTTTAGGGTTAGGGTTAGGGTTAGGGTTTAGGGTTTAGGGTTTAGGGCTTAGGGCTTAGGGCTTAGGGCTTAGGGTTTAGGGTTTAGGGTTTAGGGTTTAGGGTTTAGGGTTGAGGGTTTCGGGCTTAGGGCTTAGGGCTTAGGGCTTAGGGCTTAGGGTTTAGGGCTGGCCTTAGGCGCAGTCTTCCTACTCTTCTTCGGCGGCTTGGACGGCGAAGGCTCTTTGCTGGTCTCGGGCTCCGTCTCCGCCAGCCGAGGAACCAGCACATCTGAGATTGAGATGGGCACATCGCCATCCTTTGAGTTTGGGGTTTAGGGTTTAGGGTTTGGGGTTTGGGGTTTGGGGTTTAGGGTTTAGGGCTTAGGGTTTAGGGTTTAGGCGTGCCACTGCTGCCGTCGATAAGAACCCTCATGAGCCCTGATTCCTGAACAAGAACCTCAGAGCGTATCACCGCAGGAGGCGTAAGAAGGCGTGGAAATTATAACATGCCGCATATACCGTGCGCAGCCTCATATCCCGAACAGCGATGTGCAGCCTTCTGAACATCTGCTCTGTTCAAAGAACGCAAGCGTATAAGCGAAAGCACCTGTGCATAAATGTACTGGGCCGCTGAAAAACACTGCGCAGCACCTTCTGTCCATGATGCTGAGCGTACAACATTCGAAATCAGATCATACAAAGCAATACAACCCAACCCATGCAAGCCAGCCGTCAGACTGCTTGGAATGAAGCGCGTTCGGATCAAGCTATAATTTACATCCAATCTTTTATTCTTGGCGCTTGGCAAGCACTGCGAAAATGGACTGCTCCAACAACCGCGTGCTCATTCGCCCGGAGCCCCCATATCCCAAGGGCACTAATTCAGCGAAAGTGCCTGTGCATCATCCGATGGCTGGACCATTGTACCGCAAGGCCCGCAAGGCTACATCACTGAAGCCAAACAAAAATGCTTCGGGAGCGGACATCTGCCTGGTTCCGGGATCAGGGTTTGAATTATCAGGCTTGGGGCCTCCTTGTTAAGCGTGTTCCCATCACCCGGTACTCCGTACCAAACACATCCACGAGCCAAGCCTGAGACCCTTGAAGCTAGGAGAAGCCCTAAAAGAGGGGCCGCCTGAAAAATTAGACTTTAGGGTTTTGGGGATACTATAGTATACTTATGTAGGGACCAGAAGGGGATACTACTTGTAATGCAGTTATTTCGACCCAGTATGTTAACTTCAAATGTGCAGTGAGACCACCTGGGGGAGTGGGGTCGAGGTGAGGCTTGCTTATTTGACTCACCTTACCTAAACCTCCACAAGAGTGCTGACCAACCATTTGAAAAAGACTTTGCTGCTTTGAACCATGCGAACTCCAACAAAGGAAGGCTGAGAGGAGCCTCCCTGCAACTGAACAGCGCTCCCAAGAAACGGCTTTTTCGAGCCGCAAAGCAGACGTTCCACGCAAGAGCGGCGACCACAGAGAGTTTAAAAAAAATATATTTCGAAGATTCCCACTCTGTCTTGGTAGAGATTCTCTGGGTTTGGGCACTCCAGGGACACTCTGGGCTGGGCACTTCAGAGACACTCTGGGGCCAGGCACTTGGGAACATTCTGGGGTTGAGTACTCCAGGCAGACTCTAGGGTTGGACATTCCAGAAAGACTTTGGGTTGAGCGCTCCGGGACACTCTGGGGTTGGGCACTCCAGGAAAACTCTGGAGTTGGACACTCTGGGGGATGAGCGAAGGACCGGGTAAGAAGAAGAGTTCCGGGCAAGGAGAAAAGTTAAATTTAAAATCTAACAACCCCACACCGAGGGTGGGAAATAATATAACTCCAGTACAAAGAGCAGCTGCTAGAGATTCACCAAAAGTTCTTTACCGCCACGCAGGCCATGCAAAACAAGGTTCACAAAAAAACAATTGCGAAAACACGCGCAGATCAAAAAAAAACAATGAACTTGATAATTAGTCCCCAAGCCAGGCTGTTAGTCCTCCAACCGCAACAACAACACAAGTCCAGGATGCAGTGTTCCGCGCGCGTAAGAACACCCTTTCTTGTTCTTGTTTAATGCTGTTACTGGTTATAGTTATGATAATGATGATGATGATGATGAGGATGGTGATAATAATGATGATAATAAATAGGAGGAAGAAGAGGACGACGACGATGAGAAGGAGAAGGATGGTGATGTGTAGAAGATGCAGTTGCCTGGTTGCTAGTTGCACTTAGAGCATTTAAGGTAATTTATTGGCATGCCTAGGTCTGGTGGGAAGGGAAGGAGCCCACGGTGAAGCTGCTCCCGCGCACGCAACCCAGCATTGGTTGCTCTTCGCATTCCATCTTGAGCACTCTGCCTGTCTTCTGTCACCAAAGCTAAAGATAGAAAAAGAGCTTGCTCTGAAGTTATGCACAAGAAGTGCTGCCAGCAGCATTCAAGACCTTTGTTTGCAAGTCCACTTTGACCAATCGTAAGTCCACCATCAGTTGGACTTTTTTTTTTTGGACTGGCGCCTCTTTACTACATCAGTAGCACAGTAGGCCGGTCTTGTTGGGCTCGACGTAAAGGGTGAAACAAAGTCAGCGCACACGATCCGCCAGACACAACAAGCAACCACCAAGCAAACAGACACCGAAGAAACAAAGCGAGCAATCGCGCTGAACTACTAGATACCCCACGGACTCAGTACTCGAGGTCGTCAATGAAGTCCCGGTTCACAAGGAAGCACAGAGCTTGTGGGGGAATCGCAAATTGCGACATTGCCAGATTCTCAAAACCACCATCATGTAGCCACTGGTGCGACAGCGGTTATTCAAACCGAGGTCATCAGAAGAGGTTCGGATCACGTACTCGTTGTCAAGGACAGACAACCGACACTCAATGGCGAAAGGATGTTGCAAGTCAGACTCCCTAGGGGGGATGAAAGATGTGCATATGCCCCATGGTGGTCAGCCAGTGGGGACTTAACAGCAAGAACAATCAAGGCAAGACCGGCCCAGGGCACTCCATGGTGGTCAGCCAGTGGAGTAGCTCCGAGCTCTGGGTGCTCCATTCACCTTGGCGTACAAGTGCCCACCCAGAGAGGTGTCCGCGCCCGGCACAGGGGGCATATGCCCCATGGAGGTCAGCCAGTGGGGACTTAACAGCAAGAACAATCAAAGCAGGACCGGCCCAGGGCACTCCATGGTGGTCAGCCAGTGGAGTAGCTCCGAGCACAGGGTTCTCCAGTCAACCTGGCGTACAAGTGCCCACCCAGAGAGGTGCCCGCGCACGGCCAGAGGGGGGGCGAGAGTAGCTGCAGCTACCGATTCCACGGGGAGAGTCCACAGCGAGTTACCAAACCCTTAACGCCACAAGGTTCGTAATGACAACGAGGAACCTCCAAGTCCAGGCATCTCACACAAGGCCACGCAACCTTGGCGCTGGCCTGCGCATCGGCACGCATCAGGTCCCTCCAAACCCAAACCCGCGGGGTACGTCGGTAAGGAGATGGGAGGGCTCACATCACATTGGTGCCGAAGTGCAAGGATCTCCACGGTATTGCTACTTTGGTCCAATCAGAGCCTTCAGGTAACATCCACGCGGGCGGGGAGCCCACTTGCCCTGCCGCAGGCCAAGCTCAGACGAGGGTGACCCTCAAGAGTCTCAAGAGGGCCAGGTTGTTCTACAAGTGGGGAATGGCTCCCTGCCAAGTCAGCGGGTGCATAATCTCCACGTAGAAGTGTCCACAGCCAGCGCGTCGAACTGCTAGGTCACCCTGTGCACTCAGTACTCGAAATCGTCGAAGAGGCCGGGAGCACACATGTAGCACCGAGTGCGCAGGTGCGTCGCAAGATGCGACGTTGCCAGATTCACAAAACCACCATCATGCAGCCACCGATGCGAATACATTCAGCACCAGCCAAGGCCGTTCACGAGAAGGTTCACAAGCCCGCCATCACAGGTGGGGCATAGTCGTGCCTTGGCACGGGACGTTGCAGGTGTCAACCTTCTTGATCCGAAGTATAAAGTTGCCCCATGGTGGTCAGCCAGTGGGGACTTAACGGCAAGAACAAAGGGTAGGACCAGCCCAGAGCACTCCATGGTGGTCAGCCAGTGGAGCCTCTCCGAGCACAAGGCGCAACGTTCTTTTGACTCACAAGAGTCTCGTCCGACGGCCAAAGCAGGCTTGACTGCTTCGTTCCAATCAGAGCCATCAGGTAAACCCAAGCAGGCGGGGACCCCACCTGCCCCGCAGGAAGCGGGAGAGTCCCCCAGTCGAAACTTCGCACTCAAGGCCAAGCAACTATCTCCTTGGCCGGTGAGGGTTGAGGGTTCAATTGAGGGCTGGATGCCTCAACCATGTCAGTGATGCCTTCCTGAGGGGAAGGCGGTGGACTACCTCGGATCTACAGAGTTGACCTGAGCCAGCACTGCACAGCACCCATGAAAAAGTCCCGCCAACACACTCCCTAGAATGCAAAACCGCGAAAGCAGTGTGAAACTGGAGAACGAGACCCTCATGCTTCCAAGGCCAAGCATTAGTGAAGGGGCGGGGTCCCTACTGCATTTTCAGAAGTATGTTTGCATTCGGAGCAAAAGCTCGGAGTACTGCCGACGCAGGACTCGCAACTGCCCCTTGTGAGTCGGCCAGGACAAAAGATCGACACTCGAGGTGCCCACTGCGTTCTCTCATCGCTTGCACGCATTTGACCATCAACAGGGACACAGGCCAGCTACAAGAAGCCAAAACAAGGCAAGGTAGGTCATTCCAATCGCTTGGGTTGAGGAGCTGCAGGTGCCAGGACGGCCAGCCAACAGTGACGGGTGGATGCGCAGCCCTTACAGCCAGGAGATCATTGTAGGCATATACAGTGAACGGTGTGCCCACCGGCCAATCTACCAGGGCACAGCACGGAGGGACAGGTAGGTGACTAAGTTGCGAAACAGCGAAGACCCCAAGGAGATCTGGCTGCAGGCGGTTCGGGCACAAAGCACATAAGGCAGGGAAAAGTTGAGTGGTAAGTTGGAGAGTATCCCCTTCAAGAACTTCTTGTCGAAAGGGGGCAACGCGCCAAACGATTTGAATCATACAACCTTGATGTTGAGTAACGCGCACAAGGGTGAGATTGGCAACAAGGCCAGCATACCTTACCCTACAACGAGAAGCCGCTTCACGGACTGACCAAGGGGCAGGCACGTGACGCTGCAAGGTGGACTGTGTGCGAGGCCATAGACTGCCACAGTGGCCCTCTGCCTGCGGGTGAGGAGAATCCATTTGGGCAGGCCAATGATGCTCATGAGCAAGTCGCCCGCCCAGGAGCTGCCTTGCAGGAGTTTGATTGGCAAAGTCAGCTGTAAACGGTGAACGCAGTCGGAGGAAGCGGAGGCTCGCGAGTGGGAAGTCTCCAACTGCATGGACGTCGTAAGTGCATTCGTCACGAGGCGTGACTCCAAAGAACGCTCCGGCGTGTTCCCCCGTGGGAATCGCAAAGAAGGGCATTCCCCTCAGACCTTCCAAGAGAAGTCGGAACCAGTGCGAATTAACTGATGCAAGACAGGCCACAGACTGGATAGCCAATTGGCACCAATGAAGCATGTGCCAATGAAAGTCTAAGCCGTCCGAGACCTGGCCGATCTTTATTTCTTGTCTTATGCTCCAACTAAGCCAAGCCTGGAAGGCATCAGCGGCATTTTCAGTGCCATGAACACTCTGCAATGGCAGGGCAAGAACAACCTTGATGTTGCAGAGATCCACAAGAAGGCGTTGCGCGACTGACGATGTCAGTCTTTGCACAGGGTCCTCTCCACCTCCGCAAAGGGGAATTAGAGGGTCATTGCCTAGGACCAGCGTCAAGGCCACGGGGGACAAATCCAAGGACAGAGCTTGCGGCAGAGCAAGAGTACGGGCGTACTCAAGCTGCCTTGGGTCGCTGGCA